TCCTCTGGGATCCTAATGGACAAGCCTTTTGGGCTATAGAACAGCTGTCAGCAGCTGGAAGGAGGAGCTTTGATTGTCTCAAGATACTCCAGGGCCTCTTAGCAACAAAAAGTGGAGGAATAGATGGAGAGCTACAAAGCACAGAAAATGTGGAGAAAAAGAAAAGGGAGGAAGAGAGTGACAGAATAATGGGGGAGTGGGTTGTAGAGGAGAGAGAAGGAACATGTAAAAGGGAAGGGATTAGTGTGGAAACAAGTTGTTAGTGCAGGACAGTGCTGTTACGACAGGTCTGGGTGAGATATGAGGGAGCTATGAGGAGGAGAAGCACACTGACGTGTGCAGAGCTGTGTATGGAGCAGCACAGGCTACAGGGAGGGTCTCAGTGAATCATAGAATCAGCTAGGTTGGAAAAGACCATCCACTACCCAGCACTGCCAAGGCCACCACTAACCCATGACACTGAGGCCTTGTCTCCACGGGGTGTGAACACTTCCATAGCCGGTGCCTGCAGCCCTGCCCTGGGCAGCCTGTTCCAATGCCTGAGCACCCTCTGGGGCAGGAATTGCTCCTCAGCTCCATCTAAACCTGCCCTGGGGCAGCTTGAGGCCGTTTCCTCTTGTCCCATCCCTTGTTCCTTGGGAGCAGAGCCCAGCCCCTCCTGGCTCCATCCTCCTCTCAGGCACTTGCAGGCAGCCATCAGGTCCCCCCTGAGCCTTCTCTTCCCCACATTGAACCCCCCAGGTCCCTCAGCCCTTCCCCATCACACTTGGGCTCCAGGCCCTGCTCCAGCTCCGTTCCCTTCTCTGGCCCCGCTCCAGCACCTCAAGGTCTCTCTTGCAGTGAGGGGCCCAGAGCTGAGCACAGGATTCGAGGTGCAGCCTCCCCAGTGCCCAGCACAGGGGCCCAATCCCTGCCCTGCTCCTGCTGCCGCACTGGTGCTGGTGCAGTACCAGGATGCTGGGGGCTTCTTGGCTGCCTGGGCACAAGCTGCTCCTGCTCAGCTCCATCAATCAGCACCCCCAGGTAAATGAGGTGATGAAGATTTGGGTTCCTGCAGCACTCGGCCCTGGAGGGGGGTTATTTATAGCAGCAACCACTGAGGCAGGAAAAGTTTGCTCAAGCTGTCATTTGTGTGAGCCAGAGAGCTGGAATCTCACTCTCCCTCCTCCCTCCTGCTCTTGCTTGTTCACAATTTCACTGTAATTACCAAGCTTTACATGAGCAGGGTCAGAGCAAGGAGCTTTCTTTAGAAGACTCTGTTCTCCAGGCAGGAATCAGGCAGGATTTTTTTGTCTCCTGGGAATACTTACTCTGAGCATTTGTGTTATTTCGAGGGCTGTTCTCGTGTGCTGAGGTGGAAGCCACGAGAAGGGAGGGACAGAACCACAGTGCTTCTGAAGCTGCAGCAGCCAGAAGCCACCATCTGAAACTGCAGAGTTGAAATGTTCACTCTTGAGTTTAGGAGGGATAGAAAACCCCGACTGCAGATTATAATCTGTACTAATGTGGGTTTGTCCAAGATGAGAGAAGCATGTTAGTCAATACAGAGCTGTTCTCCTGCCGCATACTTTCAAAAGCTGTTTCCTTTCAAATGGGAAAAGCTGCTTTTTGGGTAGCCAACGGGATGGATTGGGACCAGCAGAGGGTCATTGTGCAGCTCCAGCGGGGTAATAGCTGTGTCTCTGTGACACATGGTGACAATGCTCTGCTATCACATGCTGTAAGGCCTTGTGCAGTGTTTATTGTGGAATCATGGAATAGCTTGGGTTGGAAAGGACCTTAAATATCCAATTCCAATTCCCTGTCATGGGCAGGGATGCCTTACACTAGATCATACTGCTCGAGGCTCTTGTCCAACCTGGCCTTGAACGCTGCCAGGGATGGGGCATTTTCCCCACTTGTTTGGACAACCTGTTCCAGTGCCTCACCATCCTGACAGTAAAGAACTTCTTCATTATCTCCAACCTGAACTTCCCCTGTTTCAGCTTGAGCCCATCACCCCTTGTCCTGTCACTGCAGTCCCTAATGAAGAGTCCCTCTGCAGCATCCTTGTAGCCCCCTTCGGACACTGGAAGCTGCTCTAAGGTCTCCATGCAGCTTCTCTTCTCCAGGCTGAACAGCCCCAATGTTCCCAGCCTGGCTCCATATGGGAGCTGCTCCATCCCCTGAGCATCCTCGTGGCCGCCTCTGGACTTGCTCCATCAGCTCCATGTCCTCCTGCTGGTGAGGACACCAGAACTACACCCAGTGCTGCAAGGGGGGTCTCATGAGAGCAGAGCAGAGGGGCAGGATCTCCTTGATAACATACATGGTATTATCCCAGTTAAGGAAACTTCCAAGCTAAAATCCACAATGCTGCAAGGTTTCAGCAGTGTTTATGGTGTGTGGGGTGTAAGTTACTGCTATGGTGGCACTTGGCTTGGTGACAGCACTCGTGTGTGTTCACGTGTGCTGAGCAACACATGGACACCCAGTAACCAGAGCTCATTACTTTGGTGTTTGATCTCTGTGTTGTTCATGCCCCAGGGGAGACTTTGAAGTGAAAGTGGATCTGTTCCATGGTACAGACACGTGGCCTGGATTGGAGCCTGGAGAAGCCCTGCTCTGGAGGCAGTAGCCCTGTGCGTGTTAGGAGGTTATTAGATACACAGGTCTTGTTGGGAAGAAAAGGATTCAGGGGTTTTCTTTGGCATTCTTTCTATGTAGTCAGGGTTACAGCAAGTAGAGTCGGTGATGGCAATATAGAGTTAGGTTTCTAAACAGGATGCCATAAATATTGCTTTAGGTTCTGTTTTATGAAATACTGATTCTTCTTGCAGTAGATCCTGCTGTTAACTTGATTTTCAGTAAAGGTTCCAAGAAATCCAGAGTGGTGGGCAAGGAATAGAAGGGATTCTGCTCGATAAGGGGCAAGGCTGATGCTTTCAGGAGGGATAAGCTAAGGGAAAGTGGGAAACTGGGAAGCTTTGGGGGGTAATCAGAGAAGGCAGATGTGCACTTGGGATGAAATACAGACATGGTATTTTCAGGGAATTCATAGAATCATGGAATGGTTTGGGTTGGAAGGAAGCTTAAAGCTCATCCAGCTCCAACCCCAACCCCTTCCACTGGAGCAGCTTGCTCCAAGCCCCTGTGTCCAACCTGCCCTTGAGCACTGCCAGGGATGGGGCAGCCACAGCTTCTCTGGGCACCCTGTGCCAGCGCCTCAGCACCCTCACAGGGAAGAGCTTCTGCCTCAGAGCTCATCTCAGTCTCCCCTCGGGCAGGTTCAAGCCATTCCCCCTGGCCTGTCCCTACAGACCCTTGTCCAAAGCCCCTCTCCAGGTTTCCTGCAGCCCCTTTAGGCACTGGAGCTGCTCTGAGGTCTCCCCTTCAGGAGCCTTCTCTTCTCCAGGCTGAACCAGCCCAGCACTTGAAATACTGCTGCAGGATGAGGTGGGCCCCTGGAATAGTGTTTTGGTGTCTGTCTGCTGGGAGTTTCATGTGAACATTGGAAGGAAACAGGTTGGGGACTGTGGGGGACTGGATGGACTTCCATGACTTGATGGTTTCAGAGTGACCTGTTGAAAGACAGTTGGGAATATGTTGACTGCATTTATGGGGCTGTTTGTGGGAGTGGAGAATGTTCAGAAATGGGTAGTTTGAACTTCTAGGAAGCAATCCTTAGTGGTAGATGACATAGAAGAACAGTGAGAACTGAATTAAGGCATTTACAGTAACCCAGAGAGCTTTTACATTCAGCTCTCATGCTGGATGACTTGAGCCCATGATGGAACATGCATGTCTTTGGGGTGTATGACCTCAACAACCCAATCTTTTCAGCTATGATTTCTAGGAACAGAAGATACAGGCATGGCCTTGCCTAAAGTCAAGAATACAAAGCAAAAGTGGCACTTTGAACCCAGGTGGAGGTACAAGCAGTCCAGAAAGATCAGCAAATGGGTTTAGTGCACATGGAGAAATCAGAGACCAGAGGAAAGAGGTGAGAGCCAGATGTTTGACTAGAAACAGAGCTGTTGGTCCAGGGTTCCATCATCAGGGCCATGATTGAGGGAAAGCACTGAAATAAGCAGACAGCACCAGTAAGATGAGGATGGATCATCTCCAGCTAAGGTTTAGACTGTTTGAAGCCCATTTCCAATGTGGTTGAGCCTGGAAGCTTCATGGAGTTTGCAGCCAGGTTTAGTGGGTAAAAAGTACGTTAGGGTTTAGTGTTCAAGGCCAGGCTGGATGAGGCTTGGAGCAACCTGCTTTAGTGGAAGGTGTTCCTGCCCATGGCACGGGTCTGGAACTGGATGAGCTTTCCTTTCCAGCCCAAACCAGGCTGTGATTCTGTGATATCCCCAAGCAGGGGAGGGAGGAGAGGCACTGCTTTTAATTCCAGAGCATCTTTCCTTCCAGAGACTCCTTCCTGTATCAAACACTCCTTGGATGTGAGCAGATCCAGCACATTTCCTCTTTCTCTCCTGGCAGTTGCCTGTGGAGGAAACCACTCTGCAGCGATTCCCTTTGCTCAGGAGCCTGGGGCTGCCTCTGTGCTGCCTGCACGGGGGTGCTGCTGCTCTCCAGCATGGTTTTTGGGGAGCGAAACAGGGAAGTTCTGCCAGGGAATGGTGTTGACCACACAGTTTTCTCCAGTTTGGCACTGATCTTGCTGTTCTCCCACTTGTTTCGCTCCTCTCGTATTGGCAGCGGTGGTCCCTTTAGCTCCCGGAGAATGACTGGTGGCTTTCCCTCTCTGTGACTCATCCTCTAGGGAATTCCTGAAGCAGTGAGTCAAGTTATTGGGAAAACTGTTTGCCCACTAGTGTAAACGAAGAAGCCAGGGAACCTGCCTGAGGTAGTGTAGAGGGGATTACTTTTCACTGTGACTGGTTGTCCTCTCTCTTGCTAAAGGCAGGTCCCTTCCAGATAAGCTATAGCAGGGAGACAGTAGTGAATAGATGGATTTTCCCCTTGCAATATGCTCCTCCTGATGGTTTTCCTCTTTTCCTTTCAAGGTGGCTGATCTGATAAGCATTCCAGGGTGGAGAAAAAGTGACAGGTTTGACTTTGCCAGGATTACAGTGAAAAATAGCTTGCCTAAAGAGATGAGGCTGTCAGATTGGCACCACTCAGCTACAGCTGCAATACTCCTTTCGTAAGTACCATTTACCATTTCATTCTGCCCTGGCTGACTTTAATCCAGCCTTTTGTTCTTTTGACTTCAGACAAATGAATGGTTGTGTGCTTTCCAACTAGGAATTAACTAATCTGAAATATTGCCATGGGATATTACAACAAAACCAAAGCACTTGGATGCATCCAGGAGGAATTACCTAGTGTACTGCATATGTAAGTGTGGATTGGTCAGGGTTGTTTGTACTGATGCCAGTCAGACTCAGGGTGCATTTTTAAAGCAAGGTGCTTTTTGTATCTTAACTCATCCAAATGTTCTCTTTCTACATCCTTCCCCTGTCCCATTCAAACCCAGCTTTCCTTGTCACTGCCTATTAAACATTAGCAGATCTTATTACCCAGTAGAACAGCAAGTTCTATTTAAAATCCAGAATTAGTTTCACTTCTGAATCCATTCTTTTTTCCCCTTAGCAACTTGGCCATGTATTTTTGCTCAAGCTTGGAGGCTTCAGCAAAGCTCAGCTTGTGGGCTTCACTAGCACAAGCTGTAGGTGGTTGCAGATATGTCTGCACTGATACCACGACTGGGGGCTGGTTTTAACTGTCAGTAGACTTTGAGGGTGCTCCTGCTCCGCTCCCAGGTTTGCAGTCCAGGGGCTCATTTGAAGGTAAGTTCATCTCTCAACTCCTCTTGTTTCTCATCCACTTATTCAGGAAGGCTTTGGATTTTCTCTAGTCTGACAAGTAAGAAGCTTGGAGTTCAATTGTGCTCCTGTTGAGATCATGGAGTAAAGTGCCAGTAAGCTTGGAGCTGGCGGGTGAGGAGGCTCCTTCACCTCCCTCACAGCATCATTCTTCCTTTAGTTTAGGCACTGGAAGTGTCTTACAGTGTTCATGGTCATGATGTCCTCAATTGAAAGTGGTTTTAAAAGGACTGTGCTTATCCTTACAAGATGCTTTTTGCCAATGGAAAAATCCCGGCCTGTGGGGTATTCCAGCTGGAAAAAACCCAGGAAGCTCTGAACTGATACCAGCTGATTAGAGGAGGTATATCCCATACTAGAGAGTTTCTTTTTAATTCAGTGGCTCCCTTCTCCTGTTTTTACACTGGTGGCTGTGAAGTTGTGAACAAGTGCTGTGAATAGTAGCGGTTGGCTCTCAGTTAACTCTTACGCTAAAACCAAGGAGATTTGCAAGATGATGCTTTCTTTCTTGAAAGAAAAGACTTATCATCACTGTGGACAAGTCCATGCCAAGCAGATACAGTGGTTGTTCCGGTGTCTAACAGAAAATCATCACTCAGGAAATGGATTCAGCTTTGTAAAGAGCTGTCACAGGCTGAAGGTGAGAATCTTACAGAATCACAGACTGGTTTGGGTTGGAAGGGAGCTTAAAGCTCCTCCAGCTCCAACCCCTGCCACGGTCAGGGACACCTTCCACCAGAGCAGCTTGCTCCAAGCCCCTGTGTCCAACCTGCCCTTGAGCACTGCCAGGGATGGGGCAGCCACAGCTTCTCTGGGCACCCTGTGCCAGCGCCTCAGCACCCTCCCAGGGAAGAGCTTCTGCCTAAGAGCTCATCTCAGTCTCCCCTAGGGCAGGTTCAAGCCATTCCCCTTGGCCTGTTCCTACAGGCCCTTGTCCCAAGCTCCTCTCCACGTTTCCTGCAGCCCCTTCAGGCACTGGAGCTGCTCTCAGGTCTCCCCTTCAGGAGCCTTCTCTTGTCCAGGCTGCCCCAGCCCAGCTCTCTCAGCCTGGCTCCAGAGCAGAGCTGCTCCAGCCCTCGTAGCATCTCCATGGCCTCCTCTGGCCTCGCTCCAACAGCTCCACGTCCCTCTTGCGCTGTTTCCCTTTGCATATTTTATGCTTGTGTGTGTCTCCACTGAATGGAGGCAAAGGGATGTTGCCAACTTGCAGCATATTGGTTGTTTTCCTCTGAAATGATCCCTTTCATGTGGTTTTTAGACAGGGGAAATGTATTAATCCTTAGAATTGCAGAAAAAACAGTTGAAAACCTGAACCCTTTGTGTGCAGAGCCTAAACCCCTGATTTAAATATTTCAGTGGGAGCATCTCATTGTAAAAATACTTGTGGATTTTGACATCTCAATTAATGCCTTAGACTGCCTGGGATTACCAATACTATTGCTCCGGAGCAGGCAGTATGTCAGCGTTGGGCTCTTTGTGGTGTGCACAGCATTGTTCTGCAGGGAAATAACCAGTTTGGAGTGAATAGAAAATGTGATACTAAATCTTCTGTGTTAGTAGGAAGGTTTTTGAGAGCTGAATGTTTTTTTCCTGTCTCGGGAGAGAAAAGGGACCATTTAAGGAAAACCTGATAAGAGGCTTTTGAAATTCAAGGGTGTAAGTTGTAAGGCTGAAAGGTTAGAGAAGGGAACAAGTAGGAGACACCTGTGTTTGAAGATAGTGTGGGACTCATGGGACCTATTTCTAGCCAAGGCAAGAGGTGTTTGGAGTAAGGCACAAAGGGGATGGATTTAAGCAAGGAGCACATATACACAGAAAACATCTCAATGTGTTTATGGTGCCTGAGGCAGTGGGGCTGTGTGAAGAAATATAGGGAGGAATAAGCTGAAATGGAGATCATGGAATGAGTTGGAAGGGGCCTTAAAGCTCATCCAGTTGCAACCCCCTGCCACAGGCTGGGACACCTTCCACTAGAGCAGCTTGCTCCAAGCCCTGTCCATCCTTGAACACTGCCAGGGATGGGAGTGCAAATAGCACTTCACTAACAGATGGGGTTCAAGCCCCATCAAGTCACCCCTACCTGAGCCCCCCATCCTTCCTCTCCTCACCAGGATGTTCCACATGGGCTTTCTACCCCTGGGTCATTGTCCCTGCAGCTTACAGAACCTCGCTGTTCCCATTAAATAAGCCTTTCTATAAGCACTTACTGTCCTTGACGGAAATCCTCAATTAGAACTTGGATCCAACTTCATCGGTCCTCATCCAGCTATTTTTAAGAGCTTGAAATGGAGCTCTTTCTGCTTGAGCCTGGTTCCTCACAATCTGGGAATTGTTCTTCCTCACAGGGAGAAGGGAGGGTGTCATTACATCCATGCAAAGTGTCCTGAAGCTGATAGGAGGCACTTGCTTCCCTGTGTCTGCCCACATGCAAACCCAGCTCTCCTCCAGCACCTCTTGCAGGACCCAGGGATACCTACTCACCACAATGTGGACCAGAGGCTCATAACATAAGGTGGGGCCAAATGAGACAGCACCAAAGGAAGATGAGCTCTTCCAAGGCAGAGCTGCCTTTTACAAGTGGCAGAGGATATCTGCTGCAGGCAATGCCCACAGGAATTGTGGGGAAAGCTCCTTCCCTGGGGGAAGATGGTACAGCAGCAGCCAGAAGGATGTGAGGATAGCTCTGGCATGACTATGATTAAGGGAACAGATCTGTACTTCAAAGAATACTGCCTGTGTTAGTGTAACATTTACTTACAGCTAAGCCAAAGGTGGCTCAGCATGGGGAGGGGGTGATGGCAAAAATCAGTGGGGTCTTTAATGCTGGAATATCAATTTCACACCTGCTTTCAAGATTCTCCTTTATTTATCCCATTTTCCAAGGAGAAGGAGATAAAATGAGTCAGTGGCAGAGCCTGGGGACCGAGGCATCAGGTTCAAGAAAAAAAAGTTCAAACAGCCTCTTGTGACTTGGCACATTTCAGATGCAGCTCCCCCAGGATAAGGCCCCTGCCCCACAATCTTCTCACTACAGTGTCCTCATCACAGAGCTATATGATTAGATCTGAAGCTATAACACTGCCCATTGACACACATACCCAAAATACATCTCGGAGTAGAAGCTGACCTTCAAAACCCAGGGGACAAGAACTTCCCCATGGGTCCCACCAGCTTAAATTGTACATGCTGGCAGAAATACAGCCTTGAAGTGCATGGTGATGGTCACAAGAATGCTGATAGTAACAAGAACAGACTGTTGGCCCAACCCTGGTCAGAGAGAGACTTATAAGAGCAAGCAGGGACAGGCCAAGGGGAATGGTTTAACCTGCCAGAGGGGAGACTGAGATGAGCTCTCAGCAGAAGCTCTTCCCTGTGAGGGTGCTGAGGTGCTGGCACAGGGTGCCCAGAGAAGCTGTGGCTGCCCCATCCCTGGCAGTGTTCAAGGCCAGGTTGGACACAGGGCCTTGGAGCAAGCTGCTCCAGTGGAAGGGGTTGGGGTTGGAGCTGGATGAGCTTTAAGCTCCGTTCCAGCACAAACCATTCCATGATTCTATGATAAAGAGGAAATGCAAATGTACCAGCAGGGGACAGAACCTGTTTCTGTTGATGGAGATGAAGAGGGTTGTGCTGTGCATGAGTATTTGCAGGTGCCACCCTGTGTGGTAGGGAGCAGAAGGCAGTTCCAGAGGAGCTAACAGGATGGAGCTGATCTGGTGATGTTCAGACATTGTACAGGGCCTGCCTGGGCTACTTGGGTGACTCCTGGGGCTTTCTGTTCTCCTACTGGGGCTCTGCAGCACCAGTGCTGTGCCTGTAGGACCAGCACCTCTGGGTACCTGGGCAGAGTGACCTCAGGGAAAAGGGAGGGTGCCTCTGCTGTGGTAGCACAGGAGGAGCAGAGAAGAACCCTAAAGGAGATGCTGCTGTTGGAGCTGCCCTGACACAAGCTTGTTTCCAGATGGATTTTTCTCCATCTCCATCATTTTAATTCATCTCCTCCAGCAGATGAGCTGTGAGGCTGTGACTTCTCAGTGGCACAGCAGGTTGGAACTGGGATGTTCCCTTGGAACACAATGGCATTTCCTTCAGTACCACAGCAGTGTGTTGCTGGATTCCAGTGGCTTTGTCCTGCAGTGACTCCCACAGCCATCTCCAGTGCTAAGACCTAGACATCCCCTTTCTTTTGGGCTTCCTGTAGGCAGTGAAGATGAAGGGCTGGTCGCTGGGCTTTGAACACTTACTTTGAGGGAGTTTCTCTTGGGGGAATCATACAGTAGACCTCAAGGCAGAATCTGGGGAGACTGGCTCAAAGTGTGCTTCCAGATAGGAACCACAGGTGAGTTGGGATCACTCTTCCATACCTGGGGCATGTGGAGTTGGAAGCAGGTCACCAGCTGAGACTGAGGGGAAAGGTGGGTGATGGATCAGTTGTTCTGGCAGAGCTTTCTCCTGCTGGTGCCTCCAGTGGTCTGGCAAAGTGGGAAGAAGCTTGGTACTGGCACATCCAATTTCAGTGTCTTCTTGGCACCCCATCGTTTGCTTGAGGGCAATAACAAGGCATGTTCTGAACTCCAGGAGGTTGTGTGGGCCCGGAGGAGGGTTTGGAGGATGCTGAGTGAGTGTTCGAGCCCTTGTAGATCCCCAGGGATGAGGGCTTGTAGGGGGTTAGTGTGCTGGGCTGTGTGGGTGCGACTGTGCTTCAGGTGCCTGGGTGATGGGTGAGCTTTAAGCTGCTCGTGGGTTTTTGGGTGGTGGGGAATAGCTGATGCTCTCCCTTGCAACAAGCATGGTGTGGGTGGTCTCCTGTGGTGCAAGATCCATGCACAGCCCTTTCCCACCAGCTCTGGCTGTGTTCAGCTTGTATTTACTTGTATCCCTTCTCCCGAGGCTAATGTCAGATGGGATGGGATGCTGGATTAGCCTAAATCTCCTTGGTTTAGCTGGAATGTTGTCTCGCTGGAGCATTTTTCTCCTTTGCTCTTTTCTCTAAGCCTTCCCCTTCCAGACAGCTAATTCTCCCCTTCCCCCACATCCTGTCATACCCCAGAGCATGTCACAAGGAATTAAGGGCTGAAAGGCCTGGGAGAGGCTGCTCCTCTTGGAACAGTCTCTCCTTTCTATGACCAGGGTGGCCCCCTCTGTGTGTCCCTTTTGTGTCCCATCCAATTCCCCTCCCCCTGCCCATTCAGTCCATGCCAGAGCAGAGAGCAGTGCTCCTGAGCCTTTCCCAGCCCTGCTTCCAGGACTGCAGCCGATGGGATGCATGGCTCAGAGTCCAGCCCGATCCCAAACCGCTGCCGCAGTGCTCCTGGTCCGGCAGCAAGAAGGGAGGAGGTTTGTGCTGCTGCACTTGCTGCTGCTGGAGGGTTTTCCTTCTCTCCCATCTCCGTGTGGCTCTGACAGCATCACTCCCGGTCCTCCTTCCCACAATCCACATCCAAGCTCCTCAGAATAGGGATGATGTCACTTCCTTCCAGAGGGTGCCGGGGGTGTGGAAGGGGGGAGTCACGACCCCTGGCAGCCCTGAGGAAGAGCTGAGGTTGCTGCCTGCCTGCCTGGGAAGAGGGAGTTGCTCTGAAGATGATGCCCAGCTCTGTCAGCAGGCAGGCACCACGCCGCCCTTCCCTGTGCCGAGTGGGATTTTCAATGGCTGCAAGAAGAGTTTGCTGTTCCTTCCTTCACTCGTGATGCCTGTCTCCGTGGATATGCACTGTTCCTGCAGCACCCTGATGGGAGAGAAGGATGTGCAGCAGCTGGGTAAGATTCCTGCTTCCGTAGGTCTTTGAGCTGAGGGTCAAGGGCTTTGGACTTGGTGTGCACAAAGCTGGTGCCTGCATGTGCTTCCCCTCATTCCAGTGTTGGGAGCTCGGTGCTGCTTGTACTGGGATTCGGGCTTCAAGGTCCTGGGAATTTTTCCCACTCTTTTCCAGCAATTTTAGGGAGGGTGCAAAGGGGGTTTTGCTGTTGCAAAACTTGGGTCAGTGGTCTCAGGGCTGTTGTGTGCTTTCCTCCTGGTTCTTCTGCTAAATCACATCTTCATCATCTGAAGCAACTCCTGGGATGTGCTGGGATGAAGCCAGGGTTCCTTACACTGAGAGCTTTGCTTTTTTTTGTATCCTTTGTGAGCTTTATTCTCAGGCCTTCTGTCATTTCCCTTCTTTCCAAACTGGCCCCATCCCTCATGGGTTAGGTTTTCAATAGATGGGCTTTGGGAGCTGTGATTCTTTCTGCAGTGCACTGGGAGCATGATGAGCACGGAGCCAGGAGTGACAGTCCCTCAGTGAGTGACAGGCTGCTCTGCTCCAGCCCCATCTGTTGCTGTGGGTAAAGGAATTCGTGTTGGATGGTTGCTGCTCTTGCCCATTCCCTGCCTCTTCAGCTGGCAGGGAAAAGCAGGGAGAGCACAACCACTTGTGCATGGGGAGGTGGAAGAGTTGTTGGGAAAGTGGGAAACGCGTTGGTGGGATGCAGCCGTAAGCTGAGGGATGATGGGAATCGAGGTCTGAGCTTGGCTGGGAGGTGCTGTGGTGGCCAGAGGCAGCGTGAATGAGCATGATGGAAAGTGCATCCCTAAATCCTGGCCAGGGATACTGATATCCCAGGTATAAATGCTTCATGTGGGTGGGTTAGTCAGGGCAGGGCTAGAAGAAGTCACCAGATGGCCAGAGGAGTGAGCAGTTTGAAGCTGCAGTGTACTGAGTGCTCTGATTGTAATGTGCTGAGGAAGCGTGAATCCAACTGGTGATGGAATTTCACATGTGCTTTGTTTGTGGAATAGAGCATTCCCTCCATGCACTGGGAGTGTGTCAGCCTGTTACCCATGGAATCTCCTGGATAGCGTGGAAGGTTTGTGGAGGTTTTCAATACTTAGTGACTGAAATGGGGGGGGAAGGTTCAGTCCAGTGGCCGTGGGTGGTGGTTCAAGAGTGGTCCCTCCTCTGGTTTGAGGTGATCTGTACAGCAGGTAAGTGATGGGGTAACCACATCTGACCAGGCAATAGGTTTGAGTACTGTTCCTGCAGCAGTGAGCGCTGTGATACTTAGTGGTCTGTCACAAACCCAACACTTGTGTTACTTTGAAGGTTCAGATGAGTTTTAATGTGATGGTGTTGCTCTCCCCTGCCCTCTTTTACCCAGAGCACTAAATGAGATAAGTCACATACAGGTTTGATTGGGTTTTGTCCTGTGCATGAGGTGTGGCAGATGATGTTCCCTCCAAAATGCTATTGGAAATCCTGAGTATATTATAAGTAACAAATAGGAACACTTTGAGTTTTGCCTCTGAACACAATAGCGTGTTGCCAGATCAGTACAAAGAGCTTTTATTACTTTGGAGATGCAGCTTTGGATCAGTGTGGTCACTGCAGGTCAGGAATGGGGCACTCCAGCAGCAGGGCATGAACATGAAGACTGGGAGGTTGGTGGGATTAGAATATGGGAAATGCTGTGATTTTGAGCTGGGATGCATCAGTTGGCAGAATCATGGAATCACAGAATGGTTTGGGTTGGAAGGGACCTGAAGATCATCCAGTTCTAACCCCCTGCCATGGGCAGGGACACCTTCCACGAGACCAGGTTGCTCCAAGCCCCATCCAACCTGGCAGAACTTCATACTGGTGAGATGGTGTCTTGGGGCAGAGGGGCACAGGCCAATGTGTAGTGTCCCCTGGTGTCCTCCTGGTAGCACAGGAGGGTACAGTTAAAGATGTGTGACAGGGGTTAGGGCACAGCAAAGAGGGACAGGACTGACCACTGCAGCCAGGAGATCACTGCTGGCTGTGGGCAGACCACATAGACACAGTCATAGAAACCAAAGGTTGATGAAACCAAACAGGGGTCACGGTGAAAGCATGTTGTACAACATAGGAAAGGACTGAGGCAGTCTGATGCAGTGGACTTGGACTGGAGCAGACTGGAGTGTGTACAGCAGAGCTGGAATGGTGTGGGAGAGCTGTGCTGGGAGGAGGCGGTTGGGGAGCCCTGTGGAGTCTCGTGACTTACACCGCTGCTGTTGCTGTTCTTAAAGGGTTTCTGAAGCTTTAAAAATAGGAGCACAAACAAAATGTGGGGAAGAACAGCCAGCTCCTCAGTCTCTGACCTTTTAATTGTTAGTGCCCATCAGTGTGAGCACAAAGACGTGGAGCTGGCAGGGTGCTTCTGATGATGGAGCGAGAGATCTCCTAGGAGCTTGCTCCCTCAGCTCTAAGTGCTTGCTGTTGAGAGCAGGTCAATAGCTTCCCCAGACACTGCTGCTAACTGCTAATGGGTATTTTGGCTTGCTGAGAGAGGAAGAGAAGTGTTGGACAACAAGAGAAGAGCCTGGCAGCAGGGGTGCCTCTGGAAGAACATGGGAACAGGGCTTTCTTCAGAGCTGAGGCCAGTATAACCTGCCCAAAGCACCCCACAGTGACTGCTGCCCAACACACAACCCTAACAGGATTCCAGGTAATCTTATGAACTGGAGCTGGGGGAGCAGTGATTATGTTCAGTGAGTTACACACCGGCTTCACCTAATGCTTCCCACTCTTTCAACTCCACTCTCTTGTACATCTCCTTCCCGAGCATGCCATGCCCCCTGGTGCTGGAAGGAAGAACCTCTGCCATCTTTGGTGGAAAACGGGGCTCAGGTGCCATCCTTCTGCTGGTGTGGGTTTCTCTTGAGGACGATCAGCAGCATGTTTTGGCTCTGTTCTCTTCCAGGAGGTGAGTGTTGTGCCTGCTGAAACCCCTCAGACCCACTAGCCATGCCAGGGATTGTCGTGTTCCGCCGCCGCTGGTCTGTAGGCAGCGATGACCTGGTTTTGCCAGCAGTCTTTCTCTTCCTCCTGCACACCACCTGGTAAGTGAGAAGGGCAGAAGTCTCCCATCAGTTCTTTTTGTTGTTCCTGTTCCTTGCAGCTGTCATTCTTCCTGTTCTTATTTGTGTGGCTGGAAGGCTTGTTTGGGGCATTTCTCATAGGCACCAACGTATTCCCAGCTTCTTTGGATAAGTTCTATTCTAAGTTCTAGTTCCAAAAAGGGAGCCTGACCAGCTGCTTTCATCCTCCTGCGCTACCCAAGGTTGTCCACTGGAGTTTGGGGCTGTGTTTCTTCCAGGGGCTCAGGTTAAACAATTGGAGTAGCAGATCCCAGTGGGATAATGGGACTTGACACAGGTCGTCAAATTGTTTAGACTCTGGATGGCTTGTGGGGAGGAGGTTTCCAGACCAAATTAGAGTAGCTGTGGGTGACTGAGGAGCCTCAGGAGCTTGGTGTGGGTTATTACATGCAGCTTTCTTCAGCTTCCTGCTGGTAACAAGCTGGTTTGTGACTGGCAGGTTTGTGATCCTCTCTGTGGTGCTCTTTGGGCTGGTGTACAACCCCAACGAGGCCTGCTCGCTCAACCTGGTGGACCACGGCAGAGGCTACTTGGGCATCCTGCTCAGCTGCATGATCGCAGAGGTGGCAATCATCTGGCTCAGCATGAGAGGCAGTATCCTGTACACAGAGCCTCGGGACTCCATGCAGTATGTGCTCTATGTCAGACTGGGTAAGAGGCAGAGGCCTGAGGCCTCCTAATGACTCAGCCTCCACACTGCCATCTGCTAGCGCAGAAGACTTCTCTCCCCACACCCTGACAAACACACAGCTTCTGAAAGACATCCAGATGGCCACTTGTATGTGCTATGCATCTGAATACATCACATAGACAGCACCCTGTCATTGCTGTAAGACTCTCATGCAATGCCCCAAATATCTTTCTAGCAAACCTTTTAACTTGCCATGCTCATTGCAATGCAGGTACATCCTTTCCCTCAAACCAAATGTGCTCCCCTTCTGTCTCACAGCGCAGATCTGCCACAGTGAGATGCATCTATACCTCTTCCCCCATCTTTTTTCCACATGTTTTCCTAGGATGCAGGCATGGGTCTGTGTAAATCATGCAGGGTCTGACCCCAAGGCATGCGTGTGTCCTTGCCTGTCATAGAAGACACATCTACAGCCACCTACCTTGAGACGTACTGGACCTCTTGACTCACAGGAGATGCATCTCCATCCAGTGCCTTAGATTCTCCCCCTCCAGGCACAGTGAGATAAATAGGTTTACCACCTGCTCACTGGTTGCATCCTCTCTCTGAGTGTGTATTTGTCTTCCTAAAAACGTTTCCTGTCTCTCTCACCCACCAAAAAGTAGATCAGAAAAGAGAGATTGTTCCTTGATCTCTTACTCAAGGCTTCCCTTTTAGCTTGTTTTCCCTCCTCTGCTCTGTTGTCTTCCAGGTACAGAAACTTGAGCAGATTTTTTCTGTGCTGTGTGAAGATTTTAAGAGGAAACAAATCCTTTTGGAGCTGCAGAGTCGACCCCATTCCAAACAAAACACCTCAGGGTTTTGCATCTCTGTTTTTGCTGGATCCTTTCCCTGCAGAAGTCACTAAAAGAGGGCTAGCCTTGCTTGAAAGCTCTGTCTGAGAGACATTTCCACCTTTTGAGTGTTAAGTGCAAGTCATTAACACAAAGGGCAAACAAATCCTTCTCTTTGCTTTCCCAGACACACTGCAGTCTCCCTAGGGAAGCACGTGGAGCCTGACACCGAGTTACACTGTGTTAAAACCAGACTAAATGGGGCAAGGGAGATAGAGAAAGATCCAAAAAGCCGTTTTCCTGCCCAAGAAACACCCACTTTTCTTCCTTGTCTGCCTTAAACTCTACATGGATCAGTATTTACACTGTATTTTGGGTCTTGTTTGTGGTTGTTTCATGGGGCTTTTTACTCTTAATGGCTTCATGAATTCTGATGATAGATTAGGGAGTGTGACCAGCATGTGGGCAAGGTCCATGTGACTGTCCCAGTTGAAGCATGTGCTGTTTATTACATAGGAATCTGGGAAAGAGCTCCAATACGACCCCAGGAAAGTCTCATGCATGCTCCTGTCCTGCAGCAGGTCATCTCGGAGGGCAGACAAGCCATGGTAGGCAAAGCCTTAGCTAAGATTCAGCACCCAGTTTGTGCTGAGCAGCAACCAGATCCAGCCCTGGTTCCTTGCCTACTGCTGTTGTAAAGTCTTTGTGTCTCTTTGAACTGGTTTTTCCAGGCTGGTGAGAGCCTGTAGTAAGCCACTTGTGGAAAGACACCAAGCCAACACATAGATAAGGAGGGTGGGTGGTTAGTTAGCTAGGCTGGAATGTGGGTTTAGTCCCAGCTCCACCAAAGCCTTGCTAGGCATTACTAAGCAAGCTATTTACTCTGTCCATGTCTGATTGCTCACCTGCACTTTGGGCTTGTAATGTGGAGAGAAAGTGTGGGGATGGGCACTTCAGAGTAGTGTTTCCCAACTTTTTTGTTCCAGGGAACCATCCTGAATCTGCAGTTCCCTGTTTATTCATAGACTGGTTTGAATTGGAAGGGACCTTAAAGCTTATCCAGTTCCAACCCCCTGCATGGGCAGGGGCACCTTCCACTAGGCCAGGTTGCTCAGAGGGTAACATGCAGAACTGAGGAGCTAGTAAATGACTCCTTAAGGGTTGTGTCCTGGGAACTGTTACTGGAAAGGCTGCAAAGGGCAGAGGTGCTGGGAACATTTACTAAGTGTAGTAAGCAGAATTAATCCAGGATGCTCACTACTATTTATTTCCCATCTTTGAATCAGACCAGCTGGCCAAGGTGGTTAAGTCCTGGGTGCTGCTACGCAGTGATTACTCTGTACTCCTGTGGTCCTTGTATCATTCAGGAGTAGTTTTAAGGCCATATCACACTTTTGGTTCATACCTTTGGAATATCACCTTCCAAAGCGGGGGGCCCAATCCTGCAGTCACTAATTCTGTGAAGCCATCCTGCTAAAGAGCCCCTCTTTGTGTTTCCTCTCCAGAAGCTTTGTAGAAGCAGTGGTTAATCCTTAGGGAGATGCTGCTACTCTCTATTGTGTTCCTTTTGTTGCAGCTATCCTGCTGATTGAGTTTGTGTATGCTATCGTGGGCATCGTTTGGCTAACACAGTACTACACTTCCTGCAATGATATCACAGCAAAGAGTGTCACTTTGGGTATGTATTTGGAATGTGGTTTGGGTGCATCCCTGTGGATGAGCAGACATCCTCTCGCCTCAGAGAGCTAATTCATTTCTGCATCTGGGGATTGACTGTTGGAAGTGAATTGTGGCTGTAAATGTGGTGCTTGTTTTCCTGAGACATTAGTGCTCAGAACAGTTGTTCTATTCAGTTGTTTGCGCTGTCTGTGCTGAGGCAAGAATCCATGTTCCCATGGAAGGGTCTGGCTGGGGAGTCTGGAAGGCCTGGTTCTCCTTCTTCAGTTCCAAATGGCTTTGCTGTTTTCCTGGAACTCCTTTTCAGTCTCAGGCAGTCCCTTGGCAGGGGTGATACTAGTGTTGCAGTCCCTCTAGCTACTCAGTGAGTACTTAATGGTCTTTTACATGGGCAATATCCTAAACCAGCTGGAAACTTGGAAGCTTTTATAGAGGATTTCTCTTGCTGCAGCTGGGGTGACACTGGTGTGACTTTCTCTGCCCTGCAGCAATGGAGAGATGGGTCTGATGTGTGTGATGAACAGCAGGAAGTGTTGCTGCCATGACTTGGGGGCAGAGCACCTGATTCCTCTTCTTTCCTTGCAGGAATGGTGGTGTGCAACTGGGTTGTCATCCTGAGTGTCTGCATCACTGTCCTGTGCGTCTTCGACCCCACGGGCCGGACCTTTGTCAAGCTACGTGCCACGAAGCGGAGACAGCGCAACCTGAGGACGTACAACTTGAGGTAAAGCAGCATTCCCGGAAGGATATCCTGCTTTTCTCCATGCTTAACATCCCTCCTTCAGGGAAGCATCCAGCTTCAGGCATTGCTTCCCTTTGGTGAGGGAAAGATGCAGCTCAGACTGTCAGGTGCTGTGTGTGGGCATCTGCATCCAAAGGAGGCTAAGTGATGCGGTAGCTGCCTGCATTGTGTGTTAGTCACTGCATCTGTGAAGCCTTAGGGGCCTCTTGAGCCAATGCTGACCACAACAGCTTCTTTTGTCCATCCTATAGCAGCCTTTTGCCTGGGAACAGTGAGGCAGTGCTTAGATACTGCTTAGATTGAGAAAGCATCTTCTTCCAAAGCCCCTTTCATCCTTCAGTGTTGCCTTCAGAATACAACCTCTTGCCCTGAGGTTTCTTGTCTATGCTTGTGGCCAAGAAGCAATTTCTTTTATGTTGGCAGGCAGATCTTTTAATTAAGAATTGATTACATCTTGGAGCTGCCCAGATGGGGATAGGAAAGCTTTATTTCACCAAGCAAAGCATTTTTCAGAAGGGGGACAACACAAACAGCCTTTGTTTTTCTTATGCACTCTTGACATATGCAACTGTCAGCAAGGAATGTGGCTTTGTAGGACTCGAGGGCACTGGATTTTGAACACTAGAAACTGAGGCTTTGAAAGAATACTCTGCAAGTCTTGCATTTCTCGTGAGGGATGTATATCCAAGAGGGCATTTTGAATATGCGCTCTTCCGCTGGCTTGAAATGGGATCCTTCAAGTTGTCTTTTTGAGGGAGAAAAAGCCTTTTCCAAGGACTGTGCAAGCAAGTTTTGTTTGAAGGAGCCTGGATTTAATTGTGGAATGCAAGACATTCTTCCTGACCTCTCCACTACGTGACACTAGACTTGGTTATTTGGAGTTGGTTCCCTGTTAGCCTAATGTGTGTGACTGCTGCAGTATGATCAGGACGTTCCCAGGGGGACTGGGATAAGAAGCTTTGATGATACTATGGATCTAGTACCCCGCACTCCATCAAAGCTGTGTGGCTCAGGGTGTTATTTTTCCAAAGGGAAACTGAGTGCCAATGATGGCAAAGGTTTTTTGGCCCGCTCACTACAAGAGAGACCTTGAGGTGCTGGAGTGGGGACAGAGAAGGGCAATGGAGCTGGTGCAGGGCCTGGAGCCCAGGTGTGATGGGGAAGGGCTGAGGGACCTGGAGGGTTCAGTGTGGAGAAGAGAAGGCTCAGAGGGGGACCTGATGGCTGCCTGCAAGTGCCTGAGAGGAGGATGGAGCCAGGAGGGGCTGGGCTCTGCTCCCAAGGAACAAGGGATGGGACAAGAGGAAACGGCCTCAAGCTGCACCAGGGCAGGTTTAGATGGAGCTGAGGAACAATTCCTGCCCCAGAGGGTGCTCAGGCATTGGAACAGGCTGCCCAGGGCAGGGCTGCAGGCACCGGCCCTGCAAGTGCTCACACACCGTGGAGACAAGGCCTCAGTGCCATGGGCTAGTGGTGGCCTTGGCAGGGCTGAGGAACGGTTGGACTTGGTGTTCTTCAAGGTCATTTCCAACCTGGTTGATTCTATGTTCTGTAGGTGAAGGTATTTATCCCTTGGGCCGTGGCCAGGTTTTCCCTCCAGGCCTGTACCAGTTTTGGACAGCTTGTGCCTGCTGTTTGCAGCTTCCCACTCTGCAAAGGGAGCGTGAACAGATGTGAACAAGCAAAACGCTGTGGGCTCTGATGTGAAAGGCAAACAGAAGATGGTACTACTAAAGCAATTGTTCCCAAAGAGCACATTGTGAAATTCTCTGCCTGTTTGTGGATCATGATCCAGAAAAGAGGTTGAGGGCCAGGAACTGCTACTGAAACCCCTTAGGCTGCATCAGTACGTGCCTCTGCTGTACAGCAGGAACTTGACCTTTGCATTATGTTTATCCTGAGCTGTATTTCCTCTGTCTTGACTCATGAATAAGCGTGATTTGTTACATTAGGGAGATATCTAACTTCTGCCTTCCCTTTGGTGGTGCTTTGATATAGGTGTTGGACTCTTACACAGAGGTTTTCCTTCACCAGTGGCATCGTGATGTGTGTGGGCACTTCTGTTCTTGCAGAGCTAAGAAAATAAAGCAACAAAACAAAAGGCTCAGCTGATTGTGCTGAGGCTTTGCTTGCTTCAGAGCCCACTAAACATGTGGAAGTTCAGTGTTAGGAAGAAAGAATTTGGGAAAAGTTGGAGTGAAAATAGCTCAGAGCACACTTGGCTTGTTCAGCCCCCGCGGTGAAGTTGTGAAGTTCTTTGCATTGCTGCCCAAGTACTTTGGCATTTGGTGGAGCACAGTACTGCCAGCTCTGCCTTGGGATGATCGTATTCCTGTTCCTCTTCTAGAGTCTTCCTTGGACGTTGTGGATAGTTGAACATTCCCAGGGGCTGGAGCAGCTCTGCTCTGGAGCCAGGCTGAGAGAGCTGGGCTGAGTCAGCCTGGAGAGGAGAAGGTTCTTTAAAGGGAGAACTCAGAGCAGCTCCAGTGCCTAAAGGGGTTCCAGGAAACCTGGAGAGGGGCTTGGGACAAGGACCTGTAGGGACAGGCCAAGGGGAATGGCTTGAACCTGCCTGAGGGGAGACTGAGATGAGCTCTTAGGCAGAAGCTCTTCCCTGGGAGGGTGCTGAGGCGCTGGCACAGGGTGCCCAGAGAAGCTGTGGCTGCCCCATCCCTGGCAGTGTTCAAGGCCAGGCTGGGGACAGGGGCTTGGAGCAAGCTGCTCCAGTGGAAGGGGTTGGGGTTGGAGCTGGATGAGCTTTAAGCTCCCTTCCAACACAAACCAGGTTGGGATTTTATGATAGTTATTGTATCATAGTTGTTTTCAAATGCTCAGCTCTGGGTTGATGGATTGCCCTGTGGGATCAGCTCCTCCTATGCAGGCAAATACTCCTTTATCAGCATCTCTTTCTTCCAGGTACAACCCACTTCCTGTGCTTTGGGCTTTTGCTCATGTGAGAGCCTGCCAGGAAAACAGAAGTGGTCTTTTCTCCTGATTGCTCTGACCTGTTTTGGCTTAGTCTGTGTCCACGTTAAAGACCCTGCTTCAGGGGAGCTGTGGCCTTTGTTGATAGCATTGCACTCTGGCACAGACTCGCACAGACACCCACTTCAACACCACTAAGCTCAGGGCTGTTAGCAGGTATGCCAGTCAACAAGAAGGGACTGTCACCCCTCAGAGTGTAGGAACTGGGACAAGCTGACAACAGTGGAGGCAACTCCACTCTGCTTCATTGAAACAGGGGTGTCCAATTAGCTCGTTTTGAAGCTGGAATTGAAATGTCACCGAAACCAAATGTGGGTTGAGCTAAACCTGCTCTATTCAGCCTGTTTTAACCTTGTCTAAATGGAAAGAGGCCCTTGAGCTAACTTAACTTTTCTTTCTCCTGAAAGCTAAGCACTGTACTTGAATAGAGTGTAAATTTCTTCAGTGCTGAGCCTGTGTTATGTTTTATAAATACATTTTTCCCAAATAAGCAATTTACTGGGGAGAAAAATTCCCCAGCTCCTCTCATACTATGTGCCCACAGTCTTTTGTATCGTGTGCACCCCCTTGCACTGAGGTAGAGTTTTCCTCCTGAGTGGTGGGATGTGCTGGCACGTGATGCAACTGCCAGGTTGCCAGTGGATCCTCCTTCCATCCACAGCACCGGATGCTCTTGACCATCTTGCTCCAGCAGATGTATAGAACAGCAGGAGCTTCATTATGCCCATCTCATTCGAGTGGGACACCATGTATATAAATACAGAGGACAGATTTTTTTGACCTTCCCATCATAGACTGTTTTGTGTTGGAAAGGACTCATCCAGTTCCAATCCTCCTGCCATGGGCAGGGACACCTTCCACTAGAGCAGCTTGCTCCAAGCCCCTGTGTCCAACCTGGCCTTGAGCACTGCCAGGGATGGGGCAGCCACAGCTTCTCTGGGCACCCTGTGCCAGTGCCTCAGCACCCTCACAGGGAAGAGCTTCTGCCTTATCTCTAACCTGCACTTCCCCTGTTTCAGTTGGAACCCATCACCCCTTGTCCTATCACTCCAGTCCCTGATGAAGAGTCCCTCTCCAGCATCCTTGTAGCCTCCTTGGGATACTGGAAGCTGCTCTGAGCTCTCCTTGCAGCTTCTCTTCTCCAGGCTGAACAAGCCCAACTTCCTTAGCCTATAAAATGAGATGAATTGTTAATCTTTATGTGCTCTCCTTGCCTCTGCTAGACCAGGATTCATAGAACAACATGGTTTAGCACGTGTTGTAGCAATGATAGTGAGACTGGGTGACTTTGGATCTTACTATGTGTTTGCAGACATGTTCTCCTGCCTCTCCTCATGCTCATACTCTACCCTTCATTCACAGACACCGCCTGGAAGAAGGACAAGCCAGCAGCTGGACACGCAGACTCAAGGTTTTCCTTTGCTGCACAAGGACAAAAGACTCTCAGTCGGTAGGTACCAAATAGCTCTTGTCCAAGCAGGAGATAGCATCCTGCCTGCATGAGGTGTGTCTCATTACAGTGAGATGTAGAGGCACTAGGAGTCCAGGGAGCCTTGTGTACATGCAGGGACTGGAAATCCCTTCCAAGAAGCATCAGGATCACCAGGCTTGGAGCTTTGCTGCATGCTGATTCCTTTTCTGTCCTTACAGCCCAAGTAGCCAGAAGGAGCCCTTGCATTTCTGCAGGGGGGGACCTGGTATTCCATGCAGGAGCTGATGTAACAACAAATGCAGATGTAACAACACTGAGTAGGGCAGCTATCAAAATGACTAGTCTTAACCCTCTGGTTTTGAGTATTAGAGAACTCTGAAGGTAAAGCCAGCACTGAAAAGCAATGTCAGTGCTAAACTCTTCTCCTGTAGTTGATCTGTACCTCACTGTTGCAGTGAACTGGGATAATAATGTATAAGTGAAGACAGCAGTGGAAGAAGTACCTGTTTTCGCTATGTTTGGGCTCAACATTTGACTTTGTGATCCGTTTCAGTTTGCTCAGGCAGTTTCTCCTGGTGTTTGCATCAGTCTCATACACTTGAGGAGGAGAGAGACCTCTCTGAAAACAGGAAAATGTAAACCTGTCAAGCAGATAGAGACTACTTCTGGATTTCCTAACAGTCAAACCCCACTACTTAATCCCTAGATTCACATGGAGATCGTTGGTTTGAAGTTTTCATGTGCTACAGTTGGGATTTTCCCTTCTTGTGCAGCAGGGAAGGGTAAGGGGCTTGCTATTGCTTCCCCAGAAGTTAGCAGCCCATTTTTCCTGGAAGCAGTAGGAGCAGGTTTATGTCTTGGGGTTGTGTTCAACAGGATTCCTTAGGACCTCCTGAAGATGTGGGCAAGAACAGGGAAAACTTTGCTGATTAAGACTCCTAATATTTAAATGGGTCAGAATTCGGAGTATTTGGGAACTCCTGGAAGACCAGACAGAACCAGGGTGTTGTTATCAGAGGTAGTTGTAAAGAAAGACCAAGTGATGAATGCACATGTACCCTGGCTCTGACTTAGTTCCAGCCTCTCAGGAGAAGAGCTTGGAGTTATCAAGGACACTTTGTCAAAGACATCAGTGCACAGCAGTGGCCAAAATATCACAAGAACATTTAGCATCAGTAGAAGGGCATAGCAAATGACAGGGAAACCACCAAGGGACCAACCGCATCAGTGATGCCCTCACTAAATATAGCTTGGGGTTGGGTCTCCTCAAAGGTGCAGCAGAGAAAGGAGCATATTGGAGGAGATATGGACTTGGAAGAGAAATGGGATTGGGATTTTTAACCTCAAAAAGGAAGATGGAATAAGATGAAGAGCTGTATAACGGAGTCAGGTGAAGGCTACCTGAACATTTGTTCATCACAGATGGCAACCAGTATGAATTAGATTAAAAGAGTGTGTGAGGAAGTGCTGTGGAGTTACCCACAGGGTGCATTCCCAAAGTGTGGATGGCTGCAGGAGTTGTTATAACCCTCGTGCAGAAATCCAGCAGTGTGTCCTGGCACATGGATCCTCCCAGCGGCACTGGATGCAATGCCACCATGTTCCCAACCTGCTGCCCCACTGAGGAGTCAGAGGCCAGGCCTGGCAGCGCTCACAGCTCATCTGCTGGAGCTGCTGAGGAAAAGCCATCTGGAAAAGGGAAACAAAATGAGCTTTTGTGTCAGGGCAGCTCCAACAGCAGCATTTCCTTGGGGGTTCTTTGCTGCATCTCCCCTGCTACCATAGCACAAGCACCTTCCATTCCCCCGTGGGAGCACAACCAGGTCACCTTACTCAGGTACCTAGAGGTGTGTCCGTGTCCCAGGGATGCTGCAGCCTGGCTCCAGAGCTCTGAATGTCCTGGTTTCTGAACAACTCTATTTTATTCAGGAATGTGAAATATTTCCCTGTATCGAGCTGTTTTAAACAAGCTTCTCATTCTGCAGTGACTGTTTCTACTTTAGATGTTTTTCTCTAGTTCAGGATAAGAGCAGATACCACAATCTTCAAATTCTTTGTGCTATTGAGTTCCCGTTTTGCATTCAGCTTGAGCAATTCCCAGGCTCTTTTCTTCACAGAAACAAGCTCTGACTTTGTGTGTCCTGGCATGACAGCGTGTGGAATGAATGCATGTGTAATGGATGAGAAATGAATCCGTTGCTGTCTCTCCCAGTCTTCATGGAAAAAAATGTTCCAATACAGAATCATCATCATCCTCTGGGCTGGAAAATAGTTCTGTGGGGTGGACATAGTGGTTGAGACATGAATGTGGGTCTGGAGTGAAGAGTGAAGACTGCAGCCCCTGGGGCAAATCGTCAGGGCTACAGTCAATCCTACAATAGAATATGAGATGCTCCAGCAAAATCTCATCCTTTGGAAGCAATCAGAGAATCGTAGAAGGGTTTGGGTTGGAAAGGACATTAAGGTCATCCAGTTCCATCTCCCTGCCATGAGCAGGGACACCTCACACTAGAGCAGGTTGCTCCAAGCCCCTGTGTCCAACCTGGCCTTGAACACTGCTTCTCTGGGCACCCTGTGCCAGCGCCTCAGCACCCTCACAGGGAAGAGCTGCTTCCTTATATCTGACCTGAACTTCTCCTGTTTCAGTTGGAACCCATCACCCCTTGTCCTACCACTCCAGTCCCTAATGAACAGTCCCTTTCCAGCATCCTTGTAGCCCCCTTCAAACACTGGAAGCTGCTCTGAGGTCTCCACACAGCCTTCTCTTCTCCAGGCTCAACAGCCCCAGTGTTCTCAGCCTGGCTCCATACAGGAGCTGCTCCAGCCCCTGAGCATCCTCGTGGCCTCCTCTGGACTTGCTCCAGCAACTCCATGGCTTTCTTATGTTGAGGACAGCAGAACTTCACACAGGGCTCCAAGTGGGGTCTCATGGGAGCAGAGCAGAGAGGGTGTTGCTGCCCCTTTGGGTTAATAAGTGGTTTTACTTTGAGGCTGCATTTCATGTGTGCTTATAGGAGATCTGCTAAGCTTTATGGGGTCAGTACTTGAAGGCTGCTGCAGTTGTAATGTCACAGAGGTTACTGCCAGTCCATTTGCTCTTCAAAAGGCACAGCTGGTGTGGAAACCTGCACAATAGGCACCTGAAGCCCTGTTCTTAATGGTGATTTAACTTGCTTTTGTAGGCAAAAGTGAAAAATGAAAGAAAGTAATCTGGCACTCCAGGAGTTTATCAGAGATGAAAGAATATAGGTCATTCCCCGCCAGGAGTGCTTGGGAGAGAAGGGATTTACTTTCTTCCCAGTCAAAGAAGAGACTGAGAGAGATCCTTGCCTGAAATTGAGCCTTTTTGTTAGTGCACAGCTCAGGCTTTCTACAGACAAAACTGCAGTTGGTGCTGAGTAAAGGATGCTCTGAAAACACAGGCTAAAAGTTCAGGGTAAGGCTATGACAGACCTTGGCAGGAAAGGTTACTGATGGCAGGAGTCAAACTACCAGTACCATTGATGTAGTACAGCCTCAGGGTCACCCTTGTCTTTGAGCCTGCTGGTCTTAGAGATGGCCACATCAGCATTGCCTCTCCAGCTCCCAGGCCATTCTCACTTAGCATCTTTTGTCTTTGTAGTACAGAGCAAAAGGGAAAATAACACTTTTTTCCTCACACCACCTTTGTCACTCTACTTTAGAGGCTTTGCTTGACCCTCTCGGGTCACTTCCACTTGTGTCCCTCCTGTGGGGTCTTCCTTTTTTTGGCCACCTTCTCTTCTGGGAACTCCACGTTTAATGACTCGAATCTTTATCAAGGTTTTCACTTTCAGGCCCTCTTGCTTGGATGCAGTCCAAGATAAACCTGGAAAAGCCTCATAACTTGGTCTGCTCCTTCAGCACCAAGGGCTGTCATCTGTAACACTTGCTTGTTGCAATGAGCCTCTTTGAAATCACATAGCAAAGAGGATGATGGTGAGCAATGAGCAGCTACAGAGTGGCAGGATTCAAAAGCTGTCACCTTTATCTGCTTGCAGTGGTGAGCTCTGGGTTAAATATGGACAAAATCAGTGGGGTTTTCATCCTGAGGAGGCTTTGCTCAAATAAAATTGCTTTTGAGGGGCAAGGATGACTCTGAGATGATGCTGGGTTGGGATTTGCTTGGTTCTTCTCATACTTCCTCTGTCTTAATTTATAGTGTAGAGATGAGACCGTTTCTCTCCCTTTCTGCCTGCTCTGTTTTGATGGTGAGGTGCTCTGTTTGCCCGCACATCAGCACCAAGTGTAGTACAAACTCAGCCTCAGCTGAAGCCTCTCAGTGTGACTATGTAAAAATAAACAGGATCCTCATCTGATCAGGCCAGATATGGTGTTCCCTAAAGGAATCTCGTGGATGGTTTGGTGTGTGCGCTATAGAAATGAGGCCATTGCTGCCGCAATGGTTCTCGTTCCGTGGCCTGTTTCGAAGCTCCTCATACCCAAACTCCTCCTTCTTCTCCTAAACTCTTCTCTCCCTGGATTTTGCAGGATGCCTATTCAGAAATTGCCTACCTTTTTGCTGAGTTCTTCCGAGACCTTGACATCGTCCCATCTGACATCATTGCAGGCCTGGTTCTTCTGCGCCAACGGCAGCGGGCAAAGCGCAACGCTGTGCTGGATGAGGTGGGTGGAGAGGGCATCCCTCTTGGCCTCTGACTTAACCTGCTGCTCTTGACTCACTCTCTGAGACCGCATAACTCTGCCCACCTCCTTCGTGGTGCGTGTGATGGGCTATTGCCAGTCACTGAGCTGGAAAATAAAGGTATTAACTGCTTGAGCAGCTTTTCCCAAGGCTCCCAAAAGGCCCAGCTTGGGAAATCCATCATCTTTGCTAGGCAGGTGACACAGATTGGGTCTATAGTCTAACCCCAAGAGGGCCTGAAGGAGGTGGTAGGTGCTTGGGAGTGAGTGGGATGATTACTCCTCCTCTACATAGTAATGTGGAGAAGATTCCAGCATCTGGGAAAAGCTGCAGGAGGAGCTTTAAGGGCAAAATTCCTAAATTCCAAGCCATTATTGGCATTGAGATTTGTGGATCATCAACCCAGTAGAAAATGGGGTTAGCTTCTCTCAGAGGTGGGGTTCAGACAGCAATGAGCAAGAACAGCAGAATTGGACCCAGTTAGAGGAGACCAGTTGGGATACTTGAGAGCATCTTATCCCAGGTTGCACAGTACTCTCTGTTTCTCAGGTGTAGCTTTGTCTTGGTGTCACAGGGAAGAATCTTTCTTGTGTGTTTGTGACTTACAGGCAAACAATGACATTTTAGCTTTTCTGTCTGGGATGCCAGTGACCAGGAACACGAAGTACCTGGATCTGAAAAACGCGGTAAGTGGCTGCATTGTGAACTTGCAAACCCATCCTGCTTCCTTGTGTTGCCTGTTTTCTCTTTCTCAGTGCCTTCTCTCACTCCTTTCTGCCCTTTTCTGGTATAATCAAAGAAATGAAAGATTAGTACAGCAGAAACAGACTGGTTTGGGTTGGAAGGGACCTTAAAGCTCATCCAGTTCAACCCCCTGCCATGGGGAGGGACACCTTCCACTAGAGCAGGATGCTCTAAGCCCCATCCAATGTAATAACAACATGTGCTCTCTGGAGGCTTTTAAAGCATCACCTGTAAGGCATTCTCTCTGCCTTCTGTGTGGTGGGAGGTAGTAGGATTCCCACTTAGATAGGGGAAGGCAGCGTGAGGTTTGTCCAACACCAGGGGTATGAGCTGAGTGCTGCCCCCAGGAGCATCATGCAGAGCTCCCTATGGAAGTACCACCAGGCAGGGCTCCATCTTGGAAAGGACAGGGAGCTGCCTGGAGTGAGGATGGAGCCTTCCTCCCTGTGGCTGCTTGTCAGCAGCTCTCAGGATGGGAATGCCAGCTGTCTGTTCTGTGTGGATTAAGCTTGGTTTTCTTCTGGCATGCTGCTATTGCAGCCCTTCATGGGGCACACTGTATTCACCCCCTTGATTAGATGATATGGCTGCAAGAGTGACCCAATCCCAGCATCTCTGATGGAGTGCTTCTGTGATTAACCTCCTTGTGGCTCTGCTGTGTTTAACACTCACACCCTGCTTGTGCTCAGCCTGTCTCTCCTGAATAGGAGTGTGGGGAGAGAGGGAAGCAGAGCTTATAGGAGACCCTGCTGAGGTATGAGCCCCCAGACTGGCTTTATGGCCCTCTCTGTGCATCCTATGGCCTGTGACTATGTGGAAGTATATTTAAAGAGCTCAACTTCTTGCAACTCCACAGAATCCCAAACTGGTTTGGGCTGGAAGGAGACCTTAAAGCTCATCCAGTTCCAACCCCCTGCCATGGGCAGGTATACCTTCCACTAGAACAGGTTGCTCCAAGCCCAGTCCTGTGCTGCAGACCTCTGATTAAACTAGCTTATCTCCTCAACTATGAGGAGAGCCCCCAGGGGATGGCTTTCCTTTGAGCAAGGTGTTGGATACACAGAGGAAGATTTCTCTAGAACTAACTGCTACTTTTGTTAAAGAGCTGTGGGGGCCCTTCCATGCAGGGAGAACAGGAGTAGCTGCACTGTGCTGTGCTTGGGAGGGGTTGCCTCTCTCCCAGCACCACCAGCTTGTGCAGCCACCTGCAAAACGCTGACAGTGCTGCTCTGGTGGTGCTGAGAGAGCAGGTTGGTGCTCAGAAAGAAGGGTGCACGTGTCTAATCAAGAAGGGAACCAGTAGGAGAACCTCACTGTCTAAAAGGGAATATGGCCTTTAGCAAGTCTCTTGTCTCTTTCAGCAAGAGATGCAGCGGTACAAAGAGGTGTGTTACTACATGCTGTTTGCCCTGGCTGCCTATGGCTGGCCCATATACCTGATGAGGAAGCCCACATGTGGACTCTGTCGCCTGGCCAGATCCTGCTCGTGAGTGGCCATCCTGTCTATCGCTCTGCCTTTTCCCCTTTCCCCTTCTGTTTTCCCCAGATTTAGATATATCCTTTCCTTCAACAGTTTACTCTCCATCACCCCTCTACTTCTTCCTCTTCCTCTTCTCTTTTCTTCCTTATCATGCTTTTTCTTTCCATCTCCAACTCTGTCCCTTCATACTCCAATGTCTTTCCCTTCAACCTCTTCCTTTACAGTTGCTTATCTGCTTACCTTGTTAAATAAACCAGACTGTCCTACGCTCTGTCCTCTCTGGTGCACTAAGGATCATGCCAGTCCTGTGCAGTATGAACAGCCAGGAGAGAGAACTCATCTGGCACAAGGCTGCTTTCACATTGAGGCAAAACAGCTGTCTGGGAGCTCAGAAATCAAATGTATCAGCAAGCCTAGATAAGCAGGGAGTTGACATTTGGGTCTCTATTAAAGCCTTGGCAAGACTTGGCCAGTCTGTGCTGTGTTCTCTGTGACTAATTGTTTTCTTCCTGCCGTGCTCTGTGGTACTCACCTCATGGTAGCAAGGCTGTAGTTCAGTGCAGGATATATTGGGTTTAAAGGTTTGCTTTCTGCTGCCGTAATGCTGGCATCAGCTTCTCTTTGGGGTTGAGCTTTTTGCACTGAAGCAGGTGACTGCTGTGCTGAACCTATGAGGAGGAATCTCCTTCCTTTTATTTGGGAAGTGTTTCATAAGGGAAAGGAGAAATAAATCTGTGCTTCTGTTTTTGGCCTGGGATGATGATTCTAGACCTGTTTTCTGTTTTTGTTATAAATAGACCTTGAGCTCAGTATGATTCTAGACCTGCTCCTTGTTATAAATAGATCTAGAGCTCAATACATGCTAGCTGCTTGGTGCGTTGAAGCAATGTAGGACTGCACTGTGAGGCATAGTATCCCTTGAGGAGAGATCCCAGCTCCACCGTGCATCGAGTCCTTGGGGACCGGTGGCACTGCAGCTCTCTCTGGTGCTCAGAAGGGAAACTACATCGGCTCTCAGCGCTCCTTTTTGATGCTGCAGCATCAGTTGTGTGCTCTTAGGTGCAAGAGCTCCTACCAGGGGAGGGCATCACTGCAGGGTCTGTCTTTCTCTCTAGGAATTCTGCTCTAAAGCCAATCTCTTCCACATTCCTCTTTTCCTCAAAGCTATTGCTCTTCTGCAGATGTTGCTGTCTGTGTCCTTCACGTCCCCGCTATGCACCTAGTGTCACCATTGAGGAGGACAACTGCTGTGGCTGCAACGCCATTGCCATCCGCCGCCACTTCTTGGATGAGAACATGACCTCGGTGGATATTGTCTACACATCGTGCCATGATGCGGTAAGAACCTGCAACCCTTTGGGCTATGCTCCTAAGGCACTTCCTAAGGGGATTTATGGGATTCCAGGTGTAGTGGAACAAAGGAGGAAACTTGAAGCCTTTTTTTCTGACCTTAGAGCTTCCCATCCTATCTCTTCATCAAGGAGTTCTGTCACTTGGACAGAAATATTTGCTAAAGGCAGAAATCATCACTGAAAGGAGTGCTTACACATAAGGCATAATCTGTCACACCATTGCCTCCTTTTCCCTGGGAATAATTAAACAGGAATGTCTCACCTGATTGCTGGTCCTGGATATTTTCCAGGTTTATGAAACACCTTTCTATGTGGCTGTGGACCATGATAAGAAGAAGGTGGTCATTAGTATCCGAGGAACTCTGTCTCCAAAAGTAAGTGCCTCGCATCCCCTTTGCTTCCCTGGCAAACTTTCAGGGGGGGTCTCAGGCCTTCCTGGCTCATGCTTGATTTACCTGAAGGACAACAATGGCTTTTCTTCCAGGATGCCCTGACAGACCTAACTGGGGATGCAGAGCGCCTTCCAGTTGAGGGTCACCATGGGACATGGCTGGGCCACAAGGTGTGTAAAAGAAGAAAACCCCAAACCAAACAAAGAGCCCCCCCAAAACCCCAAACAAACAAAATCCCCCCCCAAATAACCAACCCAACCCCAAACCCCACACTTTTCTCATGTTTTGACTTGAGAAAACAAGTGGTTTGAATTGCTTGAGGTACTTCTAAGGGAGTTACATGATTGCAGTGAAATGGCTTGGAGCTGTTAATACAAAATCCTTAGTTGTAACTGTTAAACCCACTATGTGTGTAATTAAAACCTCCCATATAATTAGTGCAAACCAAGCAGTAAAAGGCATCTGTGGAGATCTAGAACAAAATTATTGGATTCATTGAGAGGACTTCTTCTTCCAATGACCTTTTCAGAGCTTGCAATCAGACCCTGAGGATGTGTTTAGAATTCTCTGGCCATGAGATGGGCACTGAACCTCATCCAAGGGAACTGGCAGGACTTGTGCCTGTGTAATGAGACTGATGCTATGGGTCTGTGTTAGTGATCAGGTCTGGGTTGATTAAATCCATTGATTCTAGAGCTGATCTTTGCCCCAGTCCAGCAAAATAGTGACGTGCACACTGAGTTTCAAGCTTATCAGGGATTTGGCAGCTTCTCAAGATGCAGGGCCAGATTGGGAAGGAAAAATCCCAACTGGAGGTTGTGTGTGTTGGAGGGAATGTGGAGGTTGCTGGAAATGCTGCTGCTGCTCAAGGAGATGAGACGTTGCTGATCATCTGCTTCGGGTCCCTTTGGGCAGGACATTGATGCTGCAACTCCATGGGAGTAGGGAGGTGGGAGCTCCTGCTTCCTTCATGATATTCTGCTTGAAAGATGAACCTTTTCCATGTGCTCTGATGCTTGGCTTTGGGAAGTAGAGGATAGTAGCTGATAGCTACATACTCAAATGCTCAGTTGGGTATGGGTCTGATAAAGAAATGCTCACCTAAGAAAGTCTTGTTTGGACTCTGCAGGCTCCAAGTCTCCCAGAGCAGGTAGTCTTGAAAAGTGTTGTGTACTTCCATTTGGCTAATGGGCATCTTTTTCCTTTCATAAAATCCTAGAATCCCAGCCTGGTTTGTGTTGGAAGGGAGCTTAAAGCTCATCCAGCTCCAACCCCAACACCTTCCACTGGAGCAGCTTGCTCCAAGCCCCTGTGTCCAACCTGGCCTTGAACACTGCCAGGGATGGGGCAGCCACAGCTTCTCTGGGCACCCTGTGCCAGCGCCTCAGCACCCTCACAGGGAAGAGCTTCTGCCTAAGAGCTCATCTCAGTCTCCCCTCGGGCAGGTTCAAGCCATTCCCCTTGGCCTGTCCCTACAGGCCCTTGTCCCAAGCCCCTCTCCAGGTTTCCTGCAGCCCCTTCAGGCACTGGAGCTGCTCTCAGGTCTCCCCTTCAGGAGCCTTCTCTTCTCCAGGCTGACCAGCCCAGCTCTCTCAGCCTGGCTCCAGAGCAGAGCTGCTCCAGCCCTTGCAGCATCTCCGTGGCCTCGTCTGGCTTTGCTCCAACAGCTCCAGGTCCCTCTTGTGCTGCTGCCTCAGAGCTGGATCAGGGCTGCAGGGGGGGTCTCCCCAGAGCACAGCAAAGGGGGAGAATCCCCTCCCTTGACCTGCTGCTCATGCTCTGGGGATCAGCCCAGCACACGGGGGAGTTCTGGGCTACAAGCACCCAGGAGAAAATGAATTAGAAAATGAGGAAATTAACCCAGCAATTACCCAGGGCATGTTATGGAAGCAGCAAAAAGAGGTAGTATTTTGTCACAGAACTGCTATTTAGCTATGGGAATCTTTGCTATTGATCTGATGTTGCTGGAGTGTTGTCTCTGCTGTTGCTGCTGATGTTGCTTCGCTTTGTGCTAATTCATTTAGCTCAAAGTGACTTTGCACATCAATGTGATCAACAGCTCATGCAAAGGAAGGTGAAAGGAAAGCAAAGGGCAGTGAGGGGGAATTTGTTCTAGTGTACAGAAAAGCTCCTAATGGATCCTTGCAGAAGTTGGTTTTCTTTTGATCTCCATGTGCAAACATTCATGTGCCAGTGACTTACATGAAATGTTCTCAGCTCATTCCCTTGGTTCTATATTGAGGTTGTATTCGGCCTTTATGTTATTTCTTGTTTTGACTGTTGCTAATACAGAGCTATAGCTTTATCTCAAATTATTATCAATATGAATCTTCAGACTATAATGTGCTGCTCATTCCTGAGGGGAAACTAATGGAGATAATAGAATTTAAATCCTCCATCCTAATGCATTTTTAATGTCCAGAAGTCAACTTGAATATACAAATAAATGAAGTGCTTTGCAAACACATTTAATTTGGAGCAAAGGACTCGGCTGTCCGGGAGCTTCCTGTGAGTTGTTTGATGTCTGTTCTTGTTCTTGCTGGTTCTGTCCTGCACATCCAACAGGCCTCTTATCTCCACCTGCAGAGCTCTCCTGGTGCTGGGCTTCACGTGGTGCCGATCACACATCCCACTAGTTAAACCTCTTGATGTTCACATGAGCCGCCTTATCGCTCCGCTGCTACCACAGCTCAAAGTGTTTCACTGCTTGGGTCGCTGTGGATGCCACAGTTAGTACAGCATGGAAACAGATTGGTTTGTGCTGGAAGGGAGCTTAAAGCTCATCCAGCTCCAATCCCCTGCCACAGGCAGGGACACCTTCCACTAGAGCAGCTTGCTCCAAGCCCCTGTGTCCAACCTGGCCTCAATCTCAATCTCCCCTCTGGCAGGTTAAAGCCATTCCCCTTGTCCTGTCCCTCCAGGCCCTTGTCCAGAGCCCCTCTCCAGGTTTCTTATAGAGCTCTCTGAGCTATTTTGCATCAAAACTCACAGCTGGAACTAACATTTAGGGCTTAGCATGCCAGAAAAAAAGAGGGACTTTTAGAATGTGGAGGGGAATGAACCACAAAAACCAATCCAGCTTCACAGTATTTGAAATAAAACCCACTGATTTTGTAACAAAATTCATTTTAACATAATCATAAGGCGAGAACATCAATGAACACTTAACTCTGGTGAACTGATATAGAACAAAACTACTAAAATGATGATGTTATGGAGGTTGATTTGTGGTGCTGAGCCAGCTGGGATGACAAGAAGCTGCCAGAAGGAAGTTCAGCCATGATGACAGCTCTTCCTGCTTCCATAGAACACTCAGTAATAGCAAGAACTTCCCATTCAAGCTCTTTATTCTACCCAATACACCCCCTTTATGGGTTTTTACCCCCAATTCAAATATCCCTCAGCAGTTTCACGCCTTCAGACTGCAGTACAATAGACTATTCCCCTTTCCTTCCATCTCCACTGTGGTTATTTACATATGAGCGTCCATAACTAAACTCAAATAGATTTATTCCTTGAAAACTTAGGAAACGGGGTCCATTTAAATGGCAAGCCTACATTTAACACTGCAGTGATGAAAGGCTCATTCCATACTATTAAAATCACTGTCTATATTAGAATATCATTATCAAACCTATCGCTATCAGCCTGACTAACAGCCCATTATTAATATCACTACAGATTTAGGTCATGCTATTCAAAAATAGCATCCTAAATTCATGTTAGGACTTTATGTAAGTAGTTTTGTCATTCACTTCTCATTAGAGAAGGAACTGGAGACTCCTCTGAATGCTGCAGAGAGATGGGAACACAGGCATGGAATATGGTGGCATCTGCTTTTGATGATGCTGGTGCTGTTACAGGTGTCCCATTTGCAGGCTCAGCGCAATCACCATGGTCTGTTCTTTCTCTTCAGGGCTCACATTGGGTTTGATGATGTGTTCGGTATTGAGGGCTTTGAATGCTCCATATTGCTGTGCTTTTTGAGAGGGGCATCAGTTCCTTAATGCCCAAAGCAGGGGGTTGGAACTGGATGATCTTAAGGTCCTTTCCAACCCAAACCATTCTATGATTCTACGTCACAGAGATTCACCAGTGCTCAATAACATTCACTTTGTACTTCAGCTGTTTTCAGGTAGGGGTGTAATGCAATATAGCAGAGGAGATGATCTGCCTGGGTTTAGACCAGCCCAGGCAATGTGAATTCTTTGAGGTCTGTAATCCCCATATTCAGGCAGATCATTTCTGTTAACCCATGTTCACCCTGGACTACAGGACTGGTATTCAGCCCTTGGACTTCACGTTTGCCTAGTACTGAATTAAACTCTAGTGAAGACATAACCAAGAGCAGGTTATAAGCAATGGCTTTAACCTGCCAGAGGGGAAACTGAGATGAGCTCTTAGGCAGAAGTTTTTCCCTGTGAGAGTGCTGAGGCGCTGGCACAGGGTGCTCAGAGAAGCTGTGGCTGCCCCATCCCTGGCAGTGCTCAAGGCCAGGTTGGACACAGGGGCTTGGAGCATCCTTCTGTAGTGAAAGGTCTCCCTGCCCATGGCAGGGGGTTGGAGCTGGATGAGCTTTAAGCTCCCTTCCAACCCAAACCATTCTGTGGTTCTATTTATGCAGTGGACTGAATGCTGGTTTGTAACAGATCAGCTGCATCTGTAATTATTGCAGAGGGAGAAACACTCTTCAGCTGCAGCCGTCAGCAGGGAGGATAAATGCTTAGACCCAGACTGTTGGCTCGTTTCACATCTTCCAGCAGTGCTTAGCTTCTAGTGAGTAAAATCCCTTTAATAATATGTGATAATCATAAAATCATAGCGCCATGGAGTGGTTTGGGTTGGAAGGGACCTCAAAGTTCATCCGGTTCCAGCCCCCTGCCACAACCTTGTGTTTAAGCAGTGGGTTGTTTTGTTGTGGTTGTTTCATTTTCTTCCTGGACTTTGCATTGTGAGCCCAGGGCTGAGCCTTTGAGTATTACCTTAGTTTAAGAGCTGTCATTACTTGCAGGCAGTTTGTGGCTCTGGTAATCAGTGAGGGAGGACATCTGCCTAATGAAGTCTATTCCTCACTATGGAGTGGAGTCAGTCTTCTTCCCCAAGCCTGACACATGCTGTGTGGCACTCTGGAGCTTATCCAGCCTTCGGGGCAGCGTAGTGTCTGCTAAATGTTCAGATTGGGAGCTGATATGTGACCATTTACATCCTGTTCTGCTTTCATGTTTCCTCAGGGAATGGTGCTATCTGCTGAGTACATCAAGAAGAAATTGGAACAAGAGATGGTGCTTTCTCAAGCTTTTGGAAGAGACTTAGTGAGTATTAGTTTTCCCTTATCCTTGTGGGCCATACAGAAGTGATTTCCCTAAAACACTGGTTTTAGGGAAACCTCAGTGTCCCTGAATGTTGTTCTGATTTCCCAAATCTTTCCATCCCTCTGGATTGCCACACAGGGAGCTCATTCAGTATTCCCCCAAGGCTTTTTTATTGTGAAACCACCAACTCTACAAAGCTCCTGATGATGGTTTTTGTTTTTCTCAGGCAAAGCTAAGGTAGGAAATCCCATTTGGTGGCAATGCAGGACAGGGAACACTAAAACCAAATCGACAGGAACTAAAATCTCATTTCTGTGGAGATTCTCTTTGGAGGTAGCAATGGGATGCTGCGCTGACTGCCTCTGTGTGCACATTTCTTGGGATAGACAGCTAGCAGAGGACCCAAGAGAGGTGTTAGGAAGCAGCTTACCTTAGCGTATATGTCAGTAATAGCACAGCGTGTCCCTCTTTGGGAGGGAACTTCTGAACTGCCTGATTCCTTGATATCAGACAGCATTCTTCTTCCCATGCCCAAAGAGTGCTTGGCCTGAGCAGTTCCCACGGGGAAAATAGCAGTAGCTAAAGGGAGAATGAAAAGAGGGATAAAAGCCTCAATGGTTCCCCTAAACTTGAGTCAGAATCATAGAATCACAGCCTAGTTTGTGTTGGAAGGGAGCTTAAAGCCCATCCAGTTCCAACCCCTGCCACGGGCAGGGACCCCTTCCACTGGAGCAGCTTGCTCCAAGCCCCTGTGTCCAACCTGCCCTTGAGCACTGCCAGGGATGGGGCAGCCACAGCTTCTCTGGGCACCCTGTGCCAGCGCCTCAGCACCCTCCCAGGGAAGAGCTTCTGCCTAAGAGCTCATCTCAGTCTCCCCTCGGGCAGGTTCAAGCCATTCCCCTTGGCCTGTCCCTACAGGCCCTTGTCCAAAGCCCCTCTCCCATTTTCCTGCATCCCCTTTAGGCACTGGAGCTGCTCTCAGGTCTCCCTGGAGCCTTCTCTAGGCTGAACAGGGCCAATCGCATTCTGTTCAGTTTGAAGCTGGCTTTCTGTATATTGAGTTCAACCTCTAACTGAGGAAATAGTGTAATGAGCTGGACCTGACCCACAAAGATGGAGCGAGTTTGATTAATATGGAGCAACCTTCTTGTGCGTGGAAAATTAAGAGCTGTCTGAAGCTGAACTGTGATCAATACCTGACAAAGTGCTGTGACCAGAACATTGATGCCATCCCAGGCCCTACCAAAGGTTCACCTACCCCAGTGCACTGTTTCTTAACAATAAACCAGCAGTGCCAGTTACCAGCAACAGATCTTCAGGGATAAAGTATAAGTGAGGTGTATAAAGTCTTAAATCTCCCCCAGCATTCGCCTTACTGACTGTAACAGGCAGGGTGGTGGCTTGGAGGTGGCCTTGAGAAGGAAAATGGCACAAAGATAGATCCTTCTTGTGGGTTGGTCTTACGTTCTGTGTGTGCTTTGTAATCTAATGCAGGAAGTCTGTGTATTCCCAGGTGCTGGATAACAAGAACAGTATAAAACATTAAGGAATACTTCTGTCTCTTTGTTACTTGAGCAGTGTCCTGCTGTTGGGAGCATCTAGACTTAGAAGACTACTATCAAAGTGCTACTTGGATTCCTGCTGTTCAGTGTTGGAATTCCTGAAAGCAAGTCATTTCTAGAACCTGGAGACCTCAGTCTGGGAGCCTGGAGTCAGATATCAGAAGGCTCATATCAAATCCTAAATAACTTGTGTACATTCCCTTTTTCTTCCTTCCTTTTGTGTTTTATGGAAGACCCAGTAGGTCAAACACTGCCTGATAGAGATGTAGGAGAGAATAAACAAGAGGATGAAATCTAGCATCCCTTCAGCAGCACTGCAGGGCAGGAGTGTGCCACTGTGACTTAGCCTAGGCAGTGTAAATCAGATCTCTGCTTCCATTTCACATCTGACATACCCTCACTAGTTCCTGTTGATGGAGGAGCTGGTGAGCTGGGGTACTCATGTGTAGGAAAGACTTAGAGCAGGGGAAAAGGGACACATTTGAAGACTGTGGACTTGCCTTTTGCTCTGAGCTCAATTTCTTGTTTTATGGCTTTTGTTTCCAGGGGAGAGGAACAAAACACTATGGCCTGATCGTGGTTGGTCATTCCCTAGGGGCTGGCACAGCTGCCATCCTGTCCTTCCTCTTGCGTCCGCAGTACCCATCACTCAAGTGCTTTGCCTATTCTCCCCCAGGTGGGCTGCTGAGGTAGGTGTTGGGATGGACTGATGGGGGGGGGTGTGTAGTTGTAGCTGGATCAGATCCTGTTTGTGATGCTCTGAGGAGCAGTAGAAGACAAGTCTCTGCTCTGAGAAGCTTGCAGGAAAATGGAAAGGCTGAAAGCTCTTGGCAGCTTTTGCTCTGTGATACAGTTTAGGTTGTGATTTCATATGGCCAGTTTCCCAAGTATCCCAATTTAGGCCTTAGCTGTCTGTGGCTATAGCTCTGATTTCAGCCTGACTAGTGGAAAATGCTCACTGAGTGGACAAGGTGCACTTCCATAGAGCCCCAGACTGGTTTGTGTTGGAAGGGACCTTAAAGCTCATCCAGTTCCAACCCTTGCTATGGGCAGGGACACCTTCCACTACACCAGGTTGTTTAGTTTTCCTTATTCTCTGCACAGTGCCAGTGTCTCCTCTCCCCACCTGATGTGAATAGATGTACAAGAAGGGAGATATCTGACCAAGTGTAGGTTTCTACATCAGTTGATGTAGTTGTTTGAATTCCTTTTGCAGCTGACAATGAATTTGGCACTTCTGGAGGGTGATTTCTGTCATTCTAGAGTGAGTGCCTAGAATAGGTCAGATTCATGTGTTTCTTGGGTGCCTGTTTCTCTCCCTTTGCTGTAGGAGGGATCTAGGGTAGCTGCCATGGACATCTTTAAAGAGAAGCGTGGTGAATTCCTCCCACTGTAGACTGGGACAGACCAGCTGATCATGTTATTTATGTGGCAGCCAAACCAGACTATCCCACTTGGTTGCTGTGGAGTGACATAAAGTCTTTCCAGTTGTGGCAGACCTCATGGGGGGCACTTAAAAGCAGCTATGGATTACCAGAAGCTTCTTGTGATAATTACTGCATCATGTTCCAGGAGCAGGCAAAGGGTTTTACGCCATCCTGCTAATGTATCTGGATACTGGCCTTGCTGTGATAGTTATCCCTGGTCTTCAGCTGCAGAGGAGTTGCTCTGTAGGATGTTTCTTGAGGGTTGATGGCTTTTTGCTCAGTTTCCACTCCTGACATCCCTCAGGCCAAGCTGTGCTGTGTTACCTCAACTGGTTCAGGGGTGCCTTTAACTGCCACACTTCTGTTGGGTTGTGATTCATGCCCAGGATCACCTCTAGGTCAGTGATGCAGCCTCTGCCTGTGGGAAGTGGTTTGGAGCATCTCTAAGAAGGTGGCTGATTGCACAACCAGCTCATAGAGTGGAAGGCTTAACTCCCTCTTACCTCAGTTCTCAGGTTGCTACAGAAGGTGGCCACCTTAGTTCTACAGCATCTTTGTAAAGTAGTTTCAGGAGGATGGGATATCTTCTTACTTTCTGCTGTCCTGGCCATTCCCAAACTTGGAAAATGACCGTGAAGCATCAAATTAAAGTACTTTTCCAAGTCTATTCAGAGCCATATGCGGAGTAATGTTACTTGGGACATGAGATGTGAATAATTCAGCTTTTCTTTACCAAGATGCAAGTCCCCAAAACCTTGAGCATCTTGGGGTTTATGGCTGTTCGGTAACTCGTCTGACACCAGTGTCAAATTTGGGGATGAAGTGCAGTTTGCTGCTAGTGAAACACTCTTTGCTTCTTCTTGGTCCTGTTTCTCTTCCAGTGAGGATGCCATGGAGTATTCAAAAGAGTTTGTGACTGCAGTCGTGCTTGGCAAAGATCTAGTGCCCAGGCAAGTGGAGAAGCGTCTCGATGTCTTGATGAGTATCTGTTCTACACACAAGTCACCTCCTTCCTATCACAAACACCTCAGTCATATCTGTCTCCACTTTCCTCATTCACCTCGTCCTTGTTACTTCTTCCTTGTCTTCTTGTATTGCTGCATCTTTCACCTGGACATCCATGTTGGTGTTTCACACAGCTTTTTATAGGCATATCCCTGGCCATCTCTCAGCTGCCTGTATGAAAGAAAAGGGTGAATATCCTGCCTCTAATTGCAGTATTTGACATGTCAATGCCATCTTGCCATTGTTATCTTGGGACTTCTTTACACTCTGCTCTGAACTAAATGTCCTGTCATCTCATTTTGTACTGTCTGTCCCTGAGTACTTATCCCTTATCACTTCACATCTCTGAATCAGATCCCTCATTTCATGTGTCTTGGCATCTCTCACCTCTCCTCCTGGGACATGTTCTGCTGAATGGGGCATTGGATTAGGAGCCAGACCAACTGAGTTTTCCTTTTGCTTCTGCCCCTGTTCTGTGACCTTGGATAAATGGTGACATTTGTCTGTACACATACAGAATTCAGTGGAGGAAAAGTACTCCACAGTATTGAATATGCCTTTGGGTAACCTGTATGACAAAGTCTTTTCCATCCTATAATTTAGTGGTGCCACATAACTCTGTGGGACCTTCACTTACCTGTTCTGTGTCATCCTATACTTGTCCTCACTCACTTGTTCCTGTGATTGCATCATCTCCCTTATCTGTTCATTGACCTTTCTCATATCTCTGTTCACTGATCTCACTCTATTCCATTTGTACTTCTTTATTGTCATGATGGTTTCCTGCAGCCTCTTAACCATGGTTACTGGTCCTGGCTGATGCCACAACCCTCCTCTGAAATGATCTGTGTTGTATTCTTGTAGTAGCTTTTGTAGCAGTTTCTTGTTCTGTGCTCTGTGTTCCTATAGTCCTGTTCCCTGACACATCTTCCTCTTTTCCAGAATTGGACTCTCTCAGCTGGAGGGATTTCGCCGGCAGCTTCTGGATGTTCTTCAGAGAAGTAACAAACCAAAGGTAAGAGTAAAGATCAGCAAACACCCAAAGTGTCTCTGGGCAGTGATGGTGAGCTCATAGTGTCACACAGCAATACTGCACGCTGCCCCTGCCCTCCAGCTCTCCTTAAGTCATAGAATCACTGAATCAACCAGGTTGGAAAAGCCCTTTAAGCTCATCCAGTCCAACCGTTCCCCAGCCCTGCCAAGGCCACCACTAACCCATGGCACTGAGGCCTCGAGTCCGCGGTGTGTGACTGTGACTGCAGCCCTACCCTGGGCAGCCTGTTCCAATGGCTGAGCACCCTCTGGGGAAGGAATTGTTCCTCTTCTCCATCTAAACCTGCCCTGGTGCAGCTTGAGGCCGTTGACTCTTGTCCCATCCCTTGTTCCCTGGGAGCAGAGCCCAGCCCCTTCCTGGCTCCATCCTCCTGTCAGGCACTTGCAGGCAGCCATCAGGTCCCCCCTGAGCCTTTTCTTCTCCAAAAGCCCACTGTGACCACTACTTGCATGACCAGGGGAGTGATGATAAGAGCTTGAAGGCAGCTAGAAGGGTCAGGGCAAAGGGCTGTGCTTCATTTACAGGCTGCATGATGACTGCTCCATGCATTTCAAGTTCACCATCACAGGTCTACACTGAGCAGGATATTTTCTCCTCTAAGCCTGTTTTGAAGTCTGTGTTCCAACTGTAGCTGTTCTTGGCCAGTAACAAATGGTAACAGGCTAGGGAGTACAACAGTTGTCTGTGTGTAGACACTGCTGGTGCTGTTCTAGGATAAGCGGTCTGTTCATGTTTTGAAGATAGGATATGTGGGAAGTTGTTCCTCCCCAGCCTTCTTTATCATTAGGCTGAGGTGGAAAAAACCATAAGGCATTAAGATTACTAAGGGTAAAATATTATAGAAATGACCTGTAGAGGGAGAAAACTGAGTTGTATTTGTTTTTCATGTTAGTGTTCTATGGGGTTTGTGTTTTGGCTTTGGGGGTTATGGTGAATTTGGGGGGTTTTAGGATTTCTTTTAGTGCATAAAGGCCTAAACAGATTGTTTTGCCTGTGTTGGATAATCTATTGCTTATGTTTGTACATTAAACATTCAGATTCCTTCTACCGTGTCTAGCCTGGAAGATACCAAGTTATCACTTGGTGGATATGTTGGTGCTTGCTCTAGATCCTTAACTCTGCAAAATCCTCCATTAAAACCAAGGAATTATAGAATCATGGAAGGGAGCTTAAAGCCCATCCAGTTCCAACCCCTGCCATGGCCAGGGACATCTTCCACTGGAACAGGTTTCTCCAAGCCCCTGTGTCCAACCTGGCCTTGAACACTGCCAGGGATGGGGCAGCCACAGCTTCTCTGGGCACCCTGTGCCAGCGCCTCAGCACCCTCCCAGGGAAGAGCTTCTGCCTCAGAGCTCAGCTCAGTCTCCCCTCGGGCAGGTTCAAGCCATTCCCCCTTGGCCTGTCCCTACAGGCCCTTGTCCAAAGCCCCTCTCCAGGTTTCCTGCAGCCCCTTTAGGTACTGGAAGGCTGAGATGTTGCCACTTCTAAAATTGGGAAAGGAAGAAACAGATCTTCCAGGCAGGATTCTCTCTCTCTCGGTCTGTTATTTAAGCAATTGGATGCAAGACCTGTTTTTTCTGCTATCAGGTATTCAGTTTAAACCTTCCAGTAGTGTCTTGAGATGACTCTGCTTTTCTGTGTTGCTTTTCTCACCTCAACGCTCTCCCTCGTTTCTCTTGTTGGACAGTGGCGCATCATTGTGGGGGCCACAAAGTGCATCCCCAAGACAGAGCTGCCTGAAGAGACAGAAGAGAACTCAGTCACGAGTAACCGCCTCTGGACCCACCCCAGTGACCTGACTATTGCCCTGTCTGCAAGCACACCCCTGTACCCACCAGGCCGCATCATCCACGTGGTGCACAATCACCCTGCAGAGCAGTGCTGGTGAGTATCTGCAGAGCAGCACAACCAGTCCACAGTGGCGGTGGAAATTGCCCGTAGGAAAAGACTTCCCAAGACAGGAACCCATCTATGAAGGTGATTTTTTTGCCCCCCACACACACACTGTCTTATAGCGACAGGGATTGTACTGCCAGAATAAAAAGATCATGGAATGGTTTGGGTTGGAAGGGACCTTAAAGCTCATCCAATTCCAACCCACTGCCACGGGCAGGGACAGCTTCCACTAGAGCAGCTTGCTCCAAGCCCTGTCCAACCAAAGATGGTCATGTTACTGTTGGCTAGTGTAGTTTGGAACAATGGCAGTACCATGTGTACTTTAACATCTTTTCCCTCTGTTTCCCCTCCTGTTGCTTTCGTCTGCAACCTGCTGTTTCTTTTGCATGCCAAAATATTGGCCTGTTCTTTCATCCGCTGCTCTCTGCCTTTCCCTCTCTTTGCGTCCCAACTCTTCTTCCAGTTGCTGTGAGCAAGAGGATCCCACTTACTTTGCCATCTGGGGTGACAATAAGGCATTCAATGAAGTGATCATCTCGCCGGCGATGTTGCACGAACACCTCCCATATGTGGTCATGGAAGGGCTCAACAAGGTAATGCAAAGAATTAGGATCATAGAATCATCAAGTCCAACTGTTCCCCAGCACTGCCAAGGCCACCACTGACCCATGTCACTAAGGGCCTGACGAGTGACTGAGCTGATGTATGATGGTTGTAGAGTGGGTCTCTGTCCCTAAGCTCTACAGTTCCCAGCCATGCAGCTCTACCATGGAGTTTTAGCCACGTCTCCTCTGCCCTGCTGATGTGAAGGTGCCTCCCCAGCACTGAATTCCCAGCAGGGCATTTGGGCAGATTAAAGTATATCAGAATGTATTGCTCTAACCCTTTATCTCAAGATCTCACCCTGTGCTTGCAGGGTAAGAAACAGGCTTTTACCTTGCAGGCCCTGGTAAGAAACAGAGGCAAATCCAGCTGTTTGAAAGCCCTGAGCTGAGAACAGTCTCCACTAAAGCACTGACTGTTCCTCTGCTTCTCTTGAATAGGTCCTGGAGAATTACAACAAGGGGAAAACAGCTTTACTTTCTGCAGCCAAAGTGATGGTGAGTCCTACAGAAGTGGATCTCACCCCAGAACTGATCTTCCAGAGTCAGCCCTTGCCCAGTGGCCCTTCAGTGCAGATCGGAACTGGAGCCGTAACAACGGACAGAAGGAACAGCAGTACTAAGTAATGATCTCTTTGGTTTCTTGGAATGGTTGTTGGCTCTCTGTGGGCCTTCTTTCTCTTGGGGTATTGTGACTGATGCTTGTGGGAAGGGTGGATACAAGGGCTGCCTTTTGGGGGGCTTTGCTTAGCTTCATCTTGTCCTGTGTCATGTTGAGAGGGAGGAAATCCTTTGTGTGCTGCGAGGTGAGGAGAACCTGGAAGTGTGACGGGGTGGAAGAAACTCCATCTTCATCCTTGTTGTGGCAAATGAGAGGTGGAGGAACATCTAGAAGATAGACAGGGGGAAGAACTTGTTCTTGGTGGTGTGTGTGAACAGCTTTCCTGTAGGAGCCAATGGCAGAGAGACTCCTTACAGACTTTCAGGTGATGTTTGAGGCATTGAAGGACCCCAAATTTGCAAGAAGCAAAGAAAATAAGTGTAAAAATTTGGGCAAAGGCTTATTTCAAAGTTGCAACACAATTTCCATCACTGAATTGCAAATTTGCAGACAAAACAGGGGAAGAAAGATAGTTCATAGTCACAGATAGGAAATGATGGTTGTGAGTGGATACAAAGACAACATTGTGGGTGGGAGAAGATTATGTCTTTGCAAGGGAAGCACTTCTATGGAGATTACAGGTAGAGACCCTAAGAAGCTCTGTGTGTGTGTGGGAAGAGGCAGGGTGAGATGGTCTGTACTGAGCATCCTTGAGATAACATGAGTGAAGTTTAAGCTTAGAAGGAGCTAAAGGCAGCAAATAATATGAAAATGGTGAGGTTCTTGTCTCGGAGAGAGTGATAATGGCCAGAAACAGTGAAGGAGAGCTTAGAAGCAGAACTGCAGCTGAGATGAAACAGTAGGAGAAGGGATCAGCCTATGTTGTGAAGGCCACAGTAAGCCTGAGAAAATGAAGTAGGTCAAGCAGGGAGAGGAGCCGTGGTTTCTGTGCACACCCAAAGAGCTGCTTCCCTTTGAGATGAGTGAAAACAGAAGGGAAATCCCGGGATCTGAAAGGGATGAGGGAGAGGGCAGAGAGGCTTCAGGGAGGTGCCAGAGTGGAAATGGTTGTAGGTCGGTTGTGTTTGATCCAAGGTTAGAACCGGTTTACTGCGTCACACTCCCTTCTCTGGGGTTCTGGAAACCTGTTCTTAGATGACTGTTGAAGCTAAAGGGATCAAATCCTGGTCTAACTTAAAAGCTTCTCCCTATCCATCAGGTCCTCCTGGCAGGTGCAGCAGTCCTCTGCCAAGCTCAGGCTCTTTTCCCAGCTATTCCTTCCTTTTCCCAGGAAGCTTGGAGCAAGCTGCTCTAGTGGAAGGTGTCCCTGCCCGTGGCAGGGGGTTGGAACTGGATGAGCTTTAAGGTCTCTCCCAACCCAAACTATCCTGTAATTCTATGATATTTCCTTAAGTTCTTGTCTTTAAGGGCTGTTGCTTTGGCTGCAGCTCATCTCAAGCTTTGTGTGTGCCTGGTGTGGGGAACTCCTTCCCTGTGTCTTTGACATGGTGTCTTTCTGGAGGAGCCCTGCCTGATCCTTTGAAGTCTTGGTGTAACTGGTGTCTTTCTAAAGATCTTCACTTGGCTTAAGCTGAAGAAATTGCTTTTTTTACCTGTCTTAAAGTCTGCCACCTGAAATGATAGCTGAATTGGGCATGGGTAATGCTCTAACAGCCTCCTGGCATTGGTGGTAGCAAAGCAGGGCCTGCCAGCATGGAGCAGGAGGGGAAGGCATGAGACTGGAATGGTTCTAGAGTGTGAGAAGAAGGAGTAACAGGTTAATTGTAGGCTGATCCTTCAACCTCTCGTGCCCCAGTCCTCTCTTAATACAGAGAGAGGGGTTTGCATGTGTGGAACCTAAGTGAAAACAGTGCTTGAGGGGGAACACTTTTGGCCAGGAGAGAAGGGAGAAGGGCAAGAACCTGAGTTTTCAGAAGGGAGAAACTGTACCTAATACTTTCAGGTGGGAGGATGGAGACATAAGGGGTTTCTTGCAGTTGTGGAGGGCTCTGGTTAGAGCAGCCAGGGTGTATGAGGACCTCTGTGCTTGGTTCCTGTGGCTGTTGTGGCCACTTGTGGTTGGTTCTCTGGTGTGATGCGACCTCACGTTGTCTGTTTCTCATTGCAGGAGCAAATCCCATTCTGAGATCAGCTTGGAAGGCTTCTATGAGACGAAGCCACTTTCCCCTGTGCAGAAAGACCCCGTGGAGCTGCTTCTCCTGGACACAAAGGAACGTCTGTCTGTGGAGCTGCAGGACCGCCGTGCCCCTCTTGCCACCATGGAGAGCCTCTCAGACAATGAATCCCTCTACAGCTTTGATTCCAGGCGCTCCTCTGGTTTCCGGAGCATCCGGGGCTCTCCCAGCCTCCATGCTGTCATGGAGAAGGATGAGACCCACTGCTTTTATATAGACCCTGTTATCCCTGAGGAAAACCCTTCCCTGAGCTCCCGGACAGAGCTGCTGGCTGCTGACAGCCTCTCCAAGCACTCCCAAGAGACTCAGCCCCCTGACAACGTGCTCAACAGCGGTGGCACTACCCCACAACGACGCTGCAGTGAGGAGGGAGCCAGCAGCGAGGGGGACCGTGTTTCCTTACCCCCTCGTGAGGAGCTGTCCCTCCAGAATGGACGTCTCACTGATGTTCCCAGTCCCCAAGTGCTGGAATTTGCTGAGTTCATAGACAGCCTCTTTAATTTGGATAGCAAAAGCAGCTCCTTCCAGGACATCTACTGCATGATGGTGTCAGACAGCTCCAGTGACTTTGCAGAGATGCCCAAATCTGTTAGTGATCAAGAGATCCTGTTGAGGGCACAATATGAACCCAACTTAGTCCCTAAGCCCCCGAGGTTGTTTGCAGGCTCAACAGATCCTTCGTCGGGCATCTCTGTGTCCCCCTCTTTCCCCCTTAGTTCATCTGGAGAACTCATGGACATCACTCCTACAGGTGTGAGCAGCCAGGAGTGCCTGGCCACTGAGAAAATCCGGACTTCCACCCCCTCTGGGCATGTAACCAGCCCTGCCAAGCAGGACGACCTCATGATTTCAGCCCTCTAGTTGCAGGGTAAAAGGGGTGCAGCTCTGAGAGCTGATCCCATAGGCTGAGTGCTGGGATAGTACTTGGAGGAGGAGGAGGTGGTCATGGGGCAGTTCAGATCAGAGGAGACAGTTGGAAATGTTCCTTTCTGGGGGTGACACAGTGGTGGCACGTTGGTGTCTGGAGGATGGGCTAGGAGAAGCAGCTTTGCCTCACAGGGTCTGCTGCAGGGCTTGAGTCTCTAAAGGTAGATGGAAGTTCCCTACCCCAGCCTGTCTCATGGCATTTCTGAGGCAGATTCCTTGCCTCAGGGCACCTGCTGAGTTTGGGAGTGACATATCCTGCTTCAGGGAATCCTCTGGCCTGAAGGGGTGGATTCTCTGAAGCTGAAGGATTGAATAGATTGAGGGAGCCAGGCCAGATCCCCGCCTTGGTACCATGTCAGTGGGTTTGGAAATGAATGGATTGAGACTTTGGGCCCTATTGCACTACCAGGTTGGATCTGGCCCAAGATCCAATCCATCCCACTTCCATAGGCATTGCTTTTGTAGGACACTCTCCTGTTCTAAAGCCATTGGGGCTATATTCTCCCCACATGCAGTCTCCCCTCCCCTGGCCAGGCACAGCAAGAGCAGGGCTGGCACTGTGCTTTCTCTCCCCTGACTCCTTCTGTGTTCAGTGACCATCAGGCTGCTGCTGAGAGGGAAGGACACTGTTCTGAAGAGCCAAAGCCCTCTGCACGTCCCTCCTTTGCCAGAAAGAGTTCTGGATGTCACCACCATCACTTCTCAGCTCCCTGGACCACTCTGAGCTGGCCACATTCCTGCAGGCCTGACAGGATCCTCATCTAGGAGCTGCATGGATGGATCAACTTCAAACAACAACAGGCTTCTCAACACCCAGTGTTATGTGCCAGGCCCTTGTGGAGCCTGGGAGCCTCTGCTGGGTCCTCACACCACCCATATGCCATAATCACAGAGCAGTGTCAGCCTCTGTCATTGGGAGTTCAGGGGAAAGATGGACTTTTACAAGAGTATTGAAAAATTACAGGAGTATTGCAAAAATACTCTTTTTCAGTACAAAAATTACAAGAGGATTGAAATCTCTTGTATGTTTACAGAGCTGCTAAGCTTCTTGGAAGGTATTTATTAAGCAAACAGGGAGGCTTTCCCTCAGCTTAAAAGCGTGTTCATCCTCTCCTTTCCTGTGCTGTTGCCTCTGGGATCCAAGGGGATAGAGGATGGGCAGGTAATGATTGCAAGTCCTCTGCTTTTCAAGTGGCTCAGAGCCTGGGGGGAAGCATTGTGCATCCCTCACCCACCCTCCCTTGGCTGCCTCTCCATTGCACACTGCAAAGCTTGACCAAGGTACCAGGAGAACTCCCTGAGCACTGCTGTGCAGAGCCTCAGGGCCTCTAGGAGCCTCCAAGACCTTCCCAGGCAGGGACTTGCCAATGATGGGAGCAGGAGAGAAACTACCTATTGAGAGAGTTTAAACGTACTGTGACCTGTAAAAAGGCCTTTTGTTGGCACAAAACCTTCCTATTCAAGCTCTGCAGTCATCAATCAGTCTCACTGGAGCTCTGAACTCCCTCACTGGAAGAGAAAGTCCCATTTTAACTTCCTTGTAATCACAGGGATGTTCATTGCTCTCCTTCCCCCTCCTTAGTCGTGATCTTTCCACTGTGGGAGGATGCTGTGCTTCCCAGGCTCATGGCAAGCCTCTGGGCTCCTGTTACCCTTATCCTGGTATCCCACAGCCTTTAGCTGTGGTCACTGAGTAGTCTCTTGACTACTCAGCCATGGGTCTGAGTCATGTCTCTTGTCTGAGTAGTATCTTGACTACTAGACATGGGTCAGGCTGTTCTGTCCTGGACACCACACAAACCGAGTGGCATCAAATGCCATCGAGTCAGGACTGGAGCACTTTATTTCCATCAGTGCACACTGGTTACAACCTCAAGTGCATGGAAATGAACTGGACTTTGTGTCCAAATCCCACAGTTTAGCCTGGGATACTGTGTTCCTGATCCTCACCCATTACAGGGCCTTCAGAAGCACAGGGGCTTTGTTCAGTGGGCAGTAAAATACTGTCCCTGGGGTTTAGGTCCCAAAGGTGACCTTTTCTCTACTGTCTTGAATTAGAAGTAAGAAACCCCTTTGAGTTTCAAGTAATTTCTAAGAGTAAAATGCTTTTAAAAGCAAAACCAAGTTACTTTTCCTCCTTGTAGATCCTTCAGGAAAGAGCAGTGTTGTTCCCTTTGCTGCGAGCTTGTTCAGGAGCTCCCCTAGAGCAGCTGTGTAAGTGCCATCACATCACCCACTCTTGCAGAGCACAGGGTAAGGCTGACTTGCTGCCCACACCCGAGGCACACTAAAAAGGTGGTGTCCAGGAAGACACACAATAAACTTGGGGTGGTTTTGAGGGGGAAAGGGGATATTGTAGCATCGGGAGGCTGAGGCTGGCAGGCTGGCTCTCCTCCTGATGCAGACTGCTCACCCACGTTGCTAAGAGGAGGGGAAAGGAGTTAATCTCTGCCTTTAATCATTGGCAGAAGATGGGTAGGAATCACTTAGCACTTAGGCAGAGCTTTATATCTGCAAAGCACTTTACAAATGCTAAGGAAAGAATCATCTCTGGCCCTAGCAGTGAGGTGGTAGGAGATGGGTTTCTCTGAGACTAGGTGGAACTACTGGTGCCCTACCAAGGATGGTGGGGAGATGCCTCAAGGTGAGGAAGGTGGATTATCTCCCTCTGGTGTTTCAGTGATGACCTGAGGATGGTTAATGGGTTATAATATTGCACTAGAAAGTCACTTCTGAGCTTAGGCATACATCCACAATGTCCTGGAAGACACAGTCCTTGTGTGTGACTCTTTCCTTCTCTGTGCCATTGGAACTGTGTCCCAAGGGAATGGGTTTACCTTGCCCTCACCAGCTGTAGCAGGAAACAGCCTGGCATGCTGCATTATTTGGCTTTGTGCTCTGTGGTTGTTAGGTTCCTACTGAAAAGCCTGGAAAACACCTAATGCCTGTGACCTGGCCTTGCCATAGATCAAGGCAGTAAAGGTGCAAAAGGGCCTTAGTTAAAGGTCTTGTATCACATTATGTGTAATTCCTGGCTGCTTTGTTCTCTCTTGACAAACAGATCTGTTCCCAATCACAAGTAAATCCATGTTCTTGGCATTATTTCTGCTTTAAATGGCTTTCTGTGTCTTCCTTCTTATCAGTCCTTTCCTCAAAGAGTATTTGACAGGCTGATCTCCTGTTTCATCCTGGAAGAGTGTATCTGGGGAGCTAAGCATGAAGCCTGTAGCTACCTCCTTTGCACTGCACATGGTTGGCTGCTTCCTCTGCCCTTGGAAACATGAAGTATCCTCACGTTTCTTAATCTCTTGTCTTCTGGTTCCTACTCTTCAGCTTTGTGCCTTTGAATCTTTAGGTGTTCCCATGGAATTTCAATGGGATATTCCAGCCAGCAGTGCTGGGAGTGCTGTTGCTCGTGCCTGAAACCCCAGCTAAGCAGCAGCAGCTCATCAGCTCCATGGCACATCCTTAAATGTCTTAAAATGCCCTCCAAGAGCTTTGTGGTACAGCTGAGGCCACAGCATTCCCGGAGAGCAGAGAGTGGACTTTATGCACCTTAAAGTGAAGCAAGGGCAACCTGCTTCACCAGCACAGCTTTGCTGGAGTCCAGCAGGGTTCTCTGTCCCTCCATGATCTCCTGCTGTAGCAGATTACATTCAAGTGGGTACTTGACACTTGCTGCTGCATCCTTCTTCATGATGCTCTCAACAGACTGTAGTGAAATGTAATCCTGAAGCCTTGAAGAGTTCAAGGGCAACGTGGGATGCTCTTGCCTAAGTGTGTGTGGAGCTCAGTCCCACAGTTTAGCAGGGTCAGAGGCAATTCTTGTGTTCAAAGGCCAGGTTGGATGGGGCTTGGGAGCAAGCTGCTCTAGTGGAAGGTGTCCCTGCCCCTGGCATGGGGTTAGAACTGGATGAACATTAAGGTCCTTTCCAACTCACATCAGTCTGGATTCTATGATTTCCATGGTTGACAGGAGTCTTTCTGTGTTTCCCTTTGCATTGGCTGGGCTGGACCAATGCTTGGGGCTGGGTTCACTTTGTCCTTATGTGTGCCCATTGCTGGGATATTCTCTTCCTTTGGAGGATTCTGGCTTTGTAGGAAGGGTAGAGTAGCATTTGATTACGGTTATCTTAGATATAGTGGTTGCAGCTACCCTCTGCAGAGCACGTTAAGCCACACAGGTGAGTCATTTGCTTGTAAAGTGGTTTATAACTTATTAAATGTAACAGAAATACTGGCAGACACTTAAAATAACCTTTAGCTCTCAACCTAGCAGCTTTGCTGTGTGCTGAAAAGCTCCTTCAGCTTCCCTCCTATCTATAGCATCACATTTGTTCCTTTCTGCTCAGACAACTGAAGTCTGAGATGGCTTTTGCTGACAATCCTTCCATGCTGTCAGTGTTCATCATTCCTTCTCTTTGGATTCACTCCACTAAAGCTGGGTTTTTGTGGAGTGCTGTTACTTCATTGTGCTGCTGCAAACAGACTCTCTCAGAGCTGCTCTGCACTTTAGGAAGCTTATAGACAATCTCTGACATCCTCTTTCTAGTTGGAATAGCTTTGGGTGAATAGGTTTTTCTGCCCTGTGAGGGTGCTGAGGCGCTGGCACAGGGTGCCCAGAGAAGCTGTGGCTGCCCCATCCCTGGCAGTGCTCAAGGCCAGGTTGGACACAGGGGCTTGGAGCAAGCTGCTCTAGTGGAAGGTGTCCCTGCCCGGGGCAGGGGTTGGAGCTGGAGGAGCTTTAAGGTCTTTTCCAACACAAACTGCTCTGTGGTTCATGTTGGATAAGTGCTCCCTCATTAGAGTTCTGTAGCAACAGAAGTAATAAGTTCCAGAAGTAAGGTAAAAGGGAAATGGGTTGAACATCCAACACACTGAATCTGAAAGCTCAGTCTAACAACCAAGACATTGAACAGGGGTGGTTGTTTCTTAGCTGTGAAATCATAGAATCACAAACTGGGTTGGAAAGGACCTTCATATCATCTAGTTCCAACCCCTGCTATGGACAGGGACACCTCACACTAGACCAGGTTTCTGTAGTGAGAAGATGCTTGCAGTGAACTGAGTGCCTCTTCAGCCTTGCCTGGGGAAGGGGAGGGTTGGAAATCCAACAGTGCTTTAGCACAGGCTGCTCTGGTGTCCTGAATGAAGGAATATCTGGCTCGGAAGCACCGGTTGGGTCAGGCTTTTTGGCACATTCTCCTCGGAGCCTGTGCAGTGCTGAGCTGGGATTTAGGGAAGAGCTGCATCTCTGGTGCCAAAGCTCCCTCTCATGGCGCTCCTGTGCGGAGGAGGCGATGCTCCGTGTGGCAGGCAGAGAGCATCCTGCTGGAGGCAAACTTCCCTGGCGCTTAAGGGAAGAAAGGGACATAAAGATTGCAGCCGAGTGGTGGGACTTGAGCTGGGAATTCCTTGCTCCACGGTGAGATGCTCACACTGGTGTTAGGGTGAAGTGTGAGAGAGATGTGAAATAATGTATTGCATACAGTGATGTTCTTCCCCCCTGCCAGCTCCTGAGTGGGCTGTGTCTGCTCTGGTCCCTTCAAGGGAGGAGCCACTGCCCCTTGGGGTGAGAGAGTCGGGGCCTTCACTGCTAAGATGGGTGAGTGTTTCACCTCAACCCTATTCGTTTGTGAGCTCTGTGTTGTTAGAGTGGAGAAACACTTGAGGAAGGAGGTTCCTGCTGGGTGGAGGGCAGCGTATTCCACGTGTGGCAGGACTTCTGCAAACAGCCACACTTCTGCTGTCCTGTATCTGCATCCACCACCTCGCTGAGGGCTGTTACCCTCTGCACAGGAGGGTGTTGGTAGCCTAAACTTCATCTTTAAGGATATGGAAATTCATAGCATCCAGGAGAGAGCAATGCCTCCCTTTGCCACAGGGACTTGCTGTCTTGAAAAGCGTCATTTGTCTGCAAGCACTTTGCTGTCTCTGTTCCTATTACTGGTTTCTTCTTTGCTTGTTTTCTTGACTTCATACCTGTTGTGCCTTTGCTTTCCTTTGACTTGGGACATTTGCCAGCTTCCTTTCTTCTGCATGTTGTTTCTTCTCTGGCTGTGTGAAAGGGAATGCAGCGTGGCCAAGGACTGGTTCAGAGTTGCCTTTCCTGCCAGGTTCTCCCTTTCTGCCTCAGATTCCTGCCTCGGGTTGTATCCAAGTGCCAACAGCAAAGCTTGATCTGAGGCAGGCTCTGTCCTCAAGCCCACACCACCATCGGGTCAGCCCCTCCAATCTAGAACCTTGTGCAAAGTGAGTGTTTTCCACATGAAAGGAAGGGAAGACTTCCTACCATTTCTTACTTCTGGTGTATGTGACCTCAGTCAGTGTTTTACAGGTCTGTTCATGAGTAGAATCCTTCCTCCTCTTCAAGATCTGCTTCTGGTTTTTGCCAGAACTTATGCTGAAAGGGACTTAGTTCTGAATTTACCATGCTCTGTCCACTGCAGTTTTATTTAGTGATGTTTCTCTCCCTGGCTCTGCAACATCCATCTCCCAAAGGTGAGCTCTCTTAGAGATTTGGGCTTTCTTTGCTGCTTTCATTGCTGTGTTGGACACCTTGGACCTCACCACAGCATCCTGTGCTCTGTTTTTCGTGCGCTGAAGTTCTCTACCTGCCCCACCAACCTGTATGAGGGGAACCTCTGTCTGACTCCTTACTTACTTCTACAAAGCTCATTGAACACAAAGAGCACAGGAACAAGCCTCGGGTTTTATTGGGATTCCACTTCCCTGCTTTCCATCCCGGGCTTTATGCAGTTCTGATGGCTCAGAGTTGGAGATAACTGATGCACGTGGCAGTAGCAGGAACAACCCAAAGCAGCGCATCCATCACTCAGCCTGGCTTGGTGGTACCTGTCCAGTCTTGTCCTCTCGATGCGCTGCTTTGGGGATGCTGCTAGTGCCAGGTGATCACACCATTGAGTGTTTCCTAGTGCCACACACCTTTGCGGGTCTTAACTCCTTTATCCCAGCACTTGCTGATGGTCCCTGTCTGGTGGCAAAGTGGCTATGGAGGCTATGGCTTCCCAGCTTTCCCTCCACGCAGACTGAAGAGGTGATGGCCAGGGAATAGTCTCAAACTCCTATTGTAGTGAATAAACTTAGTTACTCATGTCAGCACAGGGGTTATTGTGATGGGCTCCCTGCCTGTGTCCATGGGGCAGCAGGAGAGGAGCACTCTGCCCTGCACAACCCTTTCCTTTGGCTCCGGTGTCCTGCTGGGACAGCCACTGGTCTGGCCTGTCCTCCCTTATAGCTGTGAACAAGCAGAGCCAGCAAGACCAGAGGAACTGGTGGAAACTCTTCCGTTTTCTCATCTTTTTGGGGCATTTTAGTGCTGGCTGCATTGGGTAGAGCCCAACTGGATGGCCTCGTGCAAGAGGAGCAGCACTGGCACGCAGAAACTCACCTCCCACTTCTCTCGCTGTCAGTGGACACCAGTGCCTCTGGCAAAGCCCTTCTGCCTGCTTCTGTCACCTCTCACGTCATGTACTGGGGCAGCTCAGGGTAGCTATGAATTAACCCCAATTGCCTCTTTCTAGCTAAAGCCTTTTGCATTAATGGGAGAAACAGTCCGAGGGAGCTCAGAGCTGCTCTGACTGCCTCTTGCAGGGCTTAGAGCGCTTGCATATGCAATCAAGGGGGGAGACAGCACAGGGTCCTGTGTCCCCACGCTCATCCAAGAGGTTACTGCCTGTCCTGGGAATGCTGCCCTCCGAATCCCTGCTCCGAGCTGCCCCAGCATGAAGACTACAAGGAAACTAAAGCAGTCCTCACGTGCCATTCTCATGTGACTGACTTTTTGTACCTATGTATGAAAGATCCAAACTAATATTGCTGTAAAGAAAAGAGACAGATTAATATAGCATATTCTATAAAGATCTATGTATATAAAAGTTTCTGTATATTACATGGCACTGTGTATAAAATGGATGTAGAAGCATGGCTGGTGTATGTGGCTGTTCCCACGTCTGAATCTGGAGAATGCTCGTTGTGGTTTGCTTGAGGTTATGCCTTCAAGGCTTGAGTGTGAGTTTGAGAGTTGGAAGGAGCTGCACTGGGCTCCCTCGTTGCAGAGGCATGAGGACTGTGCATCGCCACAGCTCCTGGAAG